AGTCCTTACTAAGGACCTGGGATAGGCAGATCTGGATGTTTGATGGTGTTACATTACATTACATTACATTATATTATTATATATATATTATATAGCATTATATTGTTATTATTATTATTATTGTGATTGTAATAGCAAAATATTGGAAACATTTAGAAAAAGCATCTAAGAACAAATTGATATGCTCAGGGAATGTCACAAGTCCCTTGAAAGTGTCTCTCCCTCCACTGCCACACCTTCTTTGCTTCCTTCACTTACTCAGACACATTGTTTCCTCCCCCCACCCCACTTTGCTTACTTGTACACACCCACATGCACCTTCCCTTGCTTGCATACACTTCCAGCGATTTCCTTCCCCAGGCCTCCCTGAGCTCATACATGCGTATGTGCCCATTTTCTTTATGAGGCTCTCAAAGATTCTGACATGCACATACTGCACAGAAAAATTATTCGGAGCTGAGTGACTAGCATCAGAGCAAGGATGTGCAGTCATGTGCACAGTTCAAAGGCCATCCATTTTACAGTCCTGTGATTTTATCTCTTATTGCACTGCTACAATATATAAAAGCCAGCAGCAGGTACTCATAACATGCAGGGAGATACAACTCTGTTTATTTTATTGAGAGAGAATAGATCCGATATGACTAGGAAGGAGATTGAGAGGTCTGCAGTATATCAGCAAAGATGTTCAAGCTCAGTTGTACACAAATCCTTAAATGCATTTCCTAGCCTGAATTGTGGACCAGTTTTATATCTCTGAACTTTATTATTCTCTGACAAATGGAATTAAGTGTGTAAGAATGCAAATATAGATGTTTCTTTAAATAGCTAAAAAGAGATATATTTCATCAGTTGCTTATCGCTGTCTTTGCGTTTCTCATCAGAAAAAAAATGTACTATTTCCTAAATCCAGAACAGATTTAGTATTACTATCTCTGTTATAAAAATCCAGGATGTAATTTCCACTTATATGTAGAAGCTGCATCAAAAAGTAGATTATTGAGTGTCTTGACTTCTCCCTAAAATCTAATCTAGATCTCAGGATTTTTTTTTTTATTAGGGTCTCTATAAAACTGAGGCCTGACAATTTCTTTAAGCTCTCTCAGCTCTTCTCCATTCAGAGAATGACGTAAATAAATTCAATTGCTATGAAGATTATGGAAATTTTTTTAAAAAAAATCCTTTCTTGGAGGTATAAAGATATAAAGAGCTGGAAACAAGAGAGCTGGAGGCATAAATTAGCTAAGTATGAATGAGCAGATAGATACAGAACACTGGTACTGTGGAAAGCAACATAAAAAAAGCGTAGGGTGGATATTGCTTCTTTGAAGTATTCTTTAAATGACTGTTGACTAACGCAATTCGCAAAGTTAAAACGCTTGTTGCTAAAAGCACTTGTCACCTAAAAATGTACATGTCTGAGGTTCAAGATCCCAAAGTGTTAATAGTGAAGCACTTTTACAGGCATCCTATGACTTGCCATTAATTAAAAATGCCTTTAAGACTGGACAATTGAAAAAGTTCCAGCCCGAGATTCTTACTTTAGGGTTCCAGAGAAATGAGATGAAATGCAAGCAATCCAGAGGTTTTGTGGCACCAAGACATGCCTAGGAAGAGGGCCTTCACCTAGTTTGTCTTTCAGAAAAGGCCAGCTCCAGTTGTTCAGTTTTTCTGAACAATATGGCAGTGGCTTCCAAATAAACTCAGTGATACTAGGAATCTGCATGCATTTCCACCAAGCTTCCACATTATAGTTTAATATTGATGACTGATTGATTTTTACACACACATACATGCATGTATATTGACACATATATATTTATACATACATCTGTATATAACACTATTTTACAGCCCAAATACCGTCGCAATACTTCTGGTTCTACAGAACCTCCCATCATAAAATTGGTATAGAATTATTTTTTTGAAGTTTTTTAATGATTAACTACTATTCTCATAGGTTGAGTATTTACATATTATATACATAGGGATCAGAAGTGGTGCGGCAGCCTAGAGGTGGAGCTCTCACTTCACAATCAGGAGGCTGCGAGTTTGATCCTAGGTAGAGGGAGATATTTCTCCCTCTGGGCGCGATGAGAATATGTCTGCTGAACAAAATTCTGCATTGGCGACAGGAAAATTCTGCATCCAGCCATTCAAACACTCTGCTAATTCCATTCAGTTGCCGAGACTCCACCCCATAAGGGATTATAGCGTCATTAAAAGAAGCGAGAGAAGATACATAGGGATTAGAAAATACATTTGTTTTAGTTTTACATTTGTAAGATAATAAAAAGCAAGAATCATGAAAAGTTTGCCACTACTAAGATTTTTGATGAGATCATAATGTGTATATAAGCCATTAATTAGAAATCTTGAGAATGTTTTTTAATTTTTGATTGCTTTGCTAAAAAATATGTGGATACGGATTTTGAGTTTCCTGGATCCCTAGCTTGTAAAACTATTTTTTGAACCCGTAAATTGTATTTGTATACTGAGTGTCAGTAACTGCATATATCTAGTTGGAGGAATGCAGAATGTGTTTTCGTTTTGAAGGGGTATTTTATTGCATTTATGATATACCGGCCAAAATCTGTTTAAACTAAGATTATGCATACATTAGCAAAGTATTCTGCATGTGACATGGATGCAATTATGGCTAATAAGATGGTATACTGAATTGCACACAGAATGTTGTACTTGAATGTAATATTCAAGAAGATGAATTAATCAGTGAAATATAAGAAAAAAAGTTGTGTTGTCTGTGAAACTAGAATTGGGAAGAAAGAATGAAGATGAACTGATACATGTAGGGAAATGAGACTGAAGATGAATAAAAGCAATTTTCTTCAAAATAAAAATGTGTTTTGGAAATGAGCCAAAAGGGCTAATCAAGATATACATACCACAACTTTGCCATTCAACAGGTTGAATGAAAAAAAATGATGTTCACTGTACATTTATTTAGGGCATATTTATAAAAAATGTGTAGGGTTTTGAATTATTGAGTTCTGCATGAGTATGATGATTAGTGGTTTATGATGAAGTAAAATGTGTGTGAATTTTTTACTTAACAGTTCAACACCGAGCAGGAGGAACGAACACAATGAGGAAAGTATTCAGCCATGTTATCAGCTGAACACATGAATGATTTACAAGTAGATAAATTTTATGACAGAACAATTCAAATTAAGGCATTTGAGCCAAAAATATTGGTGTCTGTCAAGAGAAAATACCAAGTTGAAAGTTATGCATAAATGACAAAAAAGTACAACATATAGATTACAGATAGTCCTTGTTAGTATTTGCAATTATTAGTAAGTGATACAGTTGCTAAATTTGAAATGTGCTCCAGTACTGGGATAATTGAGGTTTGTATTTACATTCATTGGAGAGGAAGGGATTACAAGAGAGTAAGTAAGCACACAATAGGGACTAAACATCAAAAGAAATACCCTATCAAAGGGTCCCTAGTGAACTGCTTAGGAGGCAAACAAACACTGAAGTTCATTTAGGATCTGGTCAATTTCAGCTAGCAATTGCCACCCATATGACAGTTCTAATCAACTAATTAAGGCCACAAGACCCGAGCTTGTTAATTTCTAAGTAGCACTTTTTAAGGGAGTGTTGTGCTGCAGAAAAAAAGCAGCTTAGGAAAAGTTAGCTTATATAGTTCTCCCTGCTCTGGGGCAGAGGTGAAAAATGGGCCAGGCACAGGCACATATTGACTGGAATGGTGAACGCAACTGAGAAAGCAATGAATTAGCCACACAGTTACTTTTTCATTACAATAGTAACTGCAAATAGTCTGTCCCAGGCAGCTACTAAACAAGGACTACCTTGGTTAAATGTTAAAGATGCGGGAAATGGAGACATTTTAAGATGTGCATATGCTAGTAGAATGGATATTAAGTGGTCTGTGGCAAGGAATAAAACTTTGCCCACCCCATCCCCAGCAAAACAAACAAAGACAGCTATGCTGAGGAGTATTCTATGGAAATAAGATATGTCAGAAAAAACAACAAAATTCAGTCAAATGGCAATCAGATACTTAAGAAGTACATGTTAAGACAAGAATACAGTTTCTGTTGACTTACTGTTTTTTAAGGGTTACAATTTCTTATTCATTTTCTGTGCTTTGCATTCTGTTGCTTAACCCCCGCCCCCCCCAAAAATAGTGTGATGGTTAAGTTTGTAATGTATATACAACCTCATTTCCCTCTTTACCTACTTTTAAGAAAATAACAAAAAAAATGAAATTATCACAAAATACCACGAAACAGAAACTGAAGAAATGAGTTGGCTAAAAAGGTATTTTTTATTTCAGCAAAAATCCATTCATCCAGCTTGCTATCCCATAAACAATCTTAGTTCTTCTGAAGATTGCATTATAAATGGATGTTTTTCTGTGAACAGTCTGCCATTTTTGGAGCTATCTTAAATGAATCAGCATATTTGCATTCAACTTTCATTCCACACGTTATTTTCATCACACTGCAATAAAACAGTGAATTACATTTATCTTTCAAAATATATAATTCTAGATTTGGCAAAATCATTTTTGATTATTAACAATTTCAACAGAACAATTTGTTGAAATACTTCAGCAACATATTTACAGCATATTATTTTGTTCAACCAACCAAGTTGTTTGCTTATTCACAACCTTAATATTGATGCCAGACTATAAAGGTAACATTCCCTTGAGTCATGCTCACTTCCTGCCCACTGACTACACGGCCATGGGTTTTCTTGACATGTTTTGCATAGCCGTGTCATTATTTACTCAAGAAAAAGAATAGAGCTCTGTCTTAAGCAGAGATTTATTTACTTTTTTTGTAAAAAGAAGTACATTCATTATTCCCAACTGAGTCAGGCTCAAGGTTCTCAAATTCACCATTTTCATTTTGTTCAAAATGAAATCCTTTTTTAAAAATAGGGCACATAGAGAATTTGTTTTCACTGGAAGATTTCAAGAGCTTTTAACACCTGGGGTTTTTTTTGTCAAGCTTTTTTTTTTCTTTTGACAATCAACAGAGACACTATTGAAAAGTTTCTGTGTAACTCAAAGGTAACATTATACCAGCACTTTAGACATTAATTATACTACTATACTTCTTACCAGCTCTTTTTTTCCTGGTTTTTGGATTATAAACAATGATCAAGCCTTTGAGGACATTAATAAAGCACTCTGTGGAGTTCATACATATCGAATTCTTGCGGTCCAAATGTGCTTTCCAGCAAAAAGCTGAGCTCTATTGCTTTGTTGTATTCAATCTTTCTATTGTGTTCCAAAATGTAACTTACTTGACCACTAATGAAAGAATACATGTCCCTTAATTATCACAGTATTAGTTTCCTCTTAACCCAGAAAGATAAAACTTACTTTTTACATGCACATGTTGCTATAGAGTGGTCTATATATGTGCTTTCCCAGCACTTTGTATATTGGAACAGTAAGCAGGCATTTGGCTTAACGAATGTTTACAGTGGTAGAAATGTCATCAAACAAGATATATGTGATGGACACTTGCTTATAATATATCAATGTTTTACAAAGAATGTCAGGGAATATTTATTGTAACAGGCATGGAACTGATGTTATAGTTGCTATCACTTTAAAAGGTCCAATATTGACTCTATCAGAATTGGAAAAACAGAGCATTCTTTTGACAAGTCTAATTTAAAAGCTAGAGTGATGAAAATCTACACAGCAGAAACCCATTAGACCTGAAATTCGAACATTTCTGTCTGCCTCTTGGCTAACTTTGCTACTTCTCTTTTTGCCCTCACCAAGGCAGTTGTAGTAAGATTGGGGACAAGGTTGACTGAAGCATCATTTTCTATTATGCTTTCATGAGATCCAGCTGTAGCGGGGTGCAGAGCGTGTTCCAGGCTTGGGTACACATCTGCTGATTCACCATACTGAGGATGAAGCCTTGAAAGACAGTTGTGCTGATAAGGTGGATGTGAATATACTTCTATGTAGCCAGGGTGTGGAACCTATAGAAGATTTTAAATAGAAGGTGAACTCCTCTCACTTAAACAACAACATAGAACAGCTGCAGTGCCTACCTCATATAAATATATCACCTGGGAAAAGATATAAGATAATCCGTTCAATTACTCCAAAGAAAATGCCATTTTTGAGTGGAAATCATCGAATGAAATCATTTTCATTAGAAATCAATAAGCTCCTTGTCAAATCAATGGTTTTCCATTCCTCAGTAATCTGATTGGAGCATAGTAGTATACTCTGAGACAAACCAAGAGAGGTACTAACTTCTCTAATTGGAATGAGTCTTCTCTTTATCTTGGACATGAAGGTACATGCCCCAGTGGCATTGCCCTAGCTCCAAAACAGAAAATATTTCAGTTTATTATCAACATATTGAATCCTAATTCACTAAATCAAAGCAGAGATATCTTATCTGAAAACATGAGACTATCATATTACGTAAGATAATAAGGTTTTGAATTAGTTTGGAAGTAATAGAATACATATTATGGATATTATTCTGTTGGATTGTTCTTAATTTTTAAAATCTCTGCATGCTTTAGAGGCTGGGTTCAAGTAAAATCTGACAACAAGACATTTTGTTCTGCATAAATTTTGTATAATAGTTAATGTCTTCTCATTTAATAACCCCAAAGCTAAAGATTGAAACTAATAATAGGTTATAGCCCCTTTTCTTAATAATCTTACTAGTTAAGTCAATAGTTCCTATACATGACAATTTTAAAGGATATTTTATTGGAAAGATATTAACTTATTTACTTTTTCTCAAAAATTATAGAACATTATTGCCTTTCAAAGCTGATGTTTTATTCAAATTGATACAATACACAGAAAAGAGGATATAATATTTGTTTAAAGCCCAAGGCAAATTAGGCTTCTACTTGGAGTCTGCAGATCTCTATTATGTTTTTCGTCGGAGCAACCAAAGCTGAATCTGAACCTTTTAGGTGAACTGGAGAATAGGAAAAAGAAGACACATTATCTATAAAAAATAGTTTGCATGCTTTTTTCAGATAAGGAAATTGCAGAAAGAGGAGAATTGATAGAGCAAAAGATTTATTTAACATGATATATAGTAAAAAGTATGCAAGGAAATCTTCACACTAGTTTGGAGAAAAAATATTGCTTACAATAGGGCTATTGGACATGGATTGTAAAATCTGGACATTTCATTTTATTGGATTCTCTTACATATTTTAAGAATTGTAATCTGCCCTAAGATTCCTAGATAGTGAGTGGAAAATAAGTATTTTAATAAATACATAGATATAAAATATTCTTCTTTCTGTTTAGAATTTTGTGCTGAATATTGTTTTATTGAACAAATTACCATTTGAAACTTAAGGGACACATTTGAAAACAATGAAAAGCAATTGCAAGATTCTTTCAGATTTTATTTCTATTTAAACCATACAAAATCATGCCATTTTGTTGTTCAATCCTGCTCCAAGACTGCAACATAAAATCAAAATTTATTAGGCACCTAATGTTTTAAACAACACTCCTGTTACTCAACTAATGCTTATTTAAAAAACCTACATCTTGGAATAAAGCACTAGAGGTCAGTATTTCTCTAGTTCAGGCCCATAAAAATGGTAAAGGAGAACTACAATGCTGAGAAATCCAGGATTCAAAAGCTTTTATCAACCTAGCCATCTGCAAATCTGCATTTTCTCATAAGAGCTTTGTTGCCGTTATAAAAAAAAATATTCTATTTTTTTGTAAATATGAATGGTAGAGATAACATGCTATCCACAAGATAATCAGTATTTTTCCAAAGAAAAAAGTTACCTGATTTGAAATTGTATTTTGAAGCTTGTTGTTTGGTTTGGATGGAAAAGTGGGTATTGCTGAGAAATAGAAGACTTTTAGAGTTAAAAGAAGATAACATGAGATTTGGGTTGAATGGATATTTGTGGTATGATAAAGTTAATGTTGATTTCAAAAATCATGATGTTATTTATGCCATATTGAGACTATGGAATAAATGCAAATCCAGGCTGTGGCCCAAAAAAACATCTTTGTAGCTCTCTACACAAGAAACATTCTGTACCCAAGAAATAATAGACCAACACAAATTAAAATATTGTGAATACTAGACTTCTGCCAAGGGGGATATAAAATAAAGAGAAGAATTGATGCCAGAGAGATATGTGGTTTTCTTATTTATGATATCAGAAAGATTTAAATTTCAATAATAGATAAATTGCAATTTAATAGATAAATTGCAGTAATTTTTATTGATAACATTTATTTTATCACTTTTTGTTATTTTTTGTTTTTACAGCCACTCTTTATTTAGCGTTTACCTCATTTAGTAGCCATTCAAAAATATTATGATGGTAATAAATAATTTTTTGACTAATTTGCACATTTACCACTAAATTTCATGAAGCTAAAAACAAAACCTTCAGTGTGAAACTGATTAAAGTCTGGTCAGTTTCAGGCACCAGCAGAGCAAAGAGTTCTAATCAAATAATTAAGACCACAAAGTTGCACTTGTTAATTTGCAGATAGCACTTGTTAGGAAAGAGCTGCACTGCAGAGCAAAGCATTAAGAGATAGCATGTTTATCCAGTGTCTCTATCCTGTGGAGGGAGGAGCAGAAACCAGGAATAAATGGGTCAGGCACAGGACACTGTACAAGAGAACTTTATCTGAATGAGATGGCAGGAACCACTGATTTACACAGCATCTCTTTCTCAGTCACATGTTTACTTAGCAACCATTTTGCTTAGTGACAATTTTGTTACTGATTTAAGAAACAGACTGCGGTCTCTAAGGAGAGGGTGCACTATTATTTTAATAGTTGATTTCATTTGCAGCTTGTATTTTACAAAGAAACTAATATATATAAGATGGTGTTTTATGCTCTTCCAAGAACAAATGATCTAGAACACTATCCTGACACCCAAAATGTCAGTACTGGAGTCCTCTATTTTACCCATTGTTTAAAAAAATGGGAGTTCTCAATTTATTCACTTTTTAAAAAAAAAATATTTCAACTCTTTGTTTAAAAGCTTACAAGGTGATTTGTAACAACACTAGAGCAGAACTCTCCCAGTGTTGATTTCCTAGCCACTTTCATGTAAAAGAAACAGCATCACCAACCCCTAAACTAAATCTTCTCCATACAAGATTTATATACAATGAATCTTTGTTTCCATCCATATTTTTGGTTGTTGTTGGGTTTTTCCCACCTCATTTCCTTGTTTTTAAATATTTTTAGTAATCTGTAAACTGCTCAGATTCACTGGGCAACATGTAATAATCTTAATTATTATTGCTATCTGGTTTACAGATAGCAAAAAATGAGTTGTGAGTGGCAATGTCACAGTTGCCTCTTCTTTTGCTGGTATTGGCTTTCATATGCATGAAATTCTTCTCTGAAGAAATAGCATGTTGTAATGTATGGGCATAGTAAATATGTGAATTCAAGCAATGTGGCCTTTGGCAATTGGCTGATGGAAATTTAGTCAATGCAAGCATTTTCTAAGTGCCGCCCCAAGATTTGTTGATATGGCACCCACTGAAGCGGTTATCATTATTATTTAATTTACAAACTCTATCAGAACAACATAAAACCAACACAAATCACATCTTCATCAATGCCGTGAAGAATTAAATACAGGTAGTCCTCAACTTACAACAGTTCATTAGTGACTGAAGTTACAACAGCACTGAAAAAGTGACTTATGACTATTTTTCACAGTTACAACCTTTGCAGCATCCTAATTATCACATGATCAAAATTCAGGCACTTGGCAACCAACTCATATTTATGATGGTTGCTGTGTCGCAGGTCATATGACAAGCAAAGTCAATGAGGCAGCCAGATTCACTTAACAGCCAGGTTACTAATTTAACAACTACAGTGATTTACTTAACAACTGTAGCAAGAAAGGTTATACAATGGGGAAAAACTCATGTAACAAATGTCTTACTTAGCAACAGAAATTTGTGGCTTAATTTTTGTAAGTCAAGAACTACATGTATTTAGTAGATTATTATGTATTAATAATTATGTAAAGTCTGTTTTGGCATTGTATATATCTCACTTGGATCACTGAAACCAGATCATTCTTAGCTCTTTGTGTTGTTTTCCAAGTACTTTGGGAAATCACAATCAGATTGGACAACCATTTGTCTGAAATAGTATAGTGCAGGGGTGTCCAACCTTGGCAACTTTAAGACTTGTGGACTTCCATTTCCAGAATTCCTCAGCCAGCTTTGCTGGCTGAGGAATTCTGGGAGTTGAAGTCCACAAATCTTAAAGTTGCCAAGGTTGGACACCCCTGGTATAGAGTTTCCGGCTTGAGCAGGGAGTTGGATTGAGAAGACCTCTAAGGTCCCTTCCAACTCTGTTATTCTGCTATATATTTTATAGTTCTAATACTCAACTTAAACCCTGTTCAGGCCTACTGGAAAATTTGAACAAAGCATATAGCAACTAACTATTATTTTGCATTAATAAAGTTTTATAAAAGGAACCTGAAACATTAGCAAAGTGAACTTTCTGTTGTCAAACTGTAACATCATACTTTATAGCTAGATAGCTGAGTAATTCAATCAGCAATTGTGTCACCAGTATCAGTGACACTCCATTACGTATGTGAATGTGCTTTTTTCTTCCTTTTTATTATTTGAATGCAAATGTTCGAAAAACAATGACAGCTTTTTCCATTTGTGCTGAAACCTATGTTTGAAGTCCAGAATTTTGTATTTTAATCAGTCTGCGCATTATTTATAGTATTCTTAGTGTATTGTTTAGTATTTAGTTTTCTCTCCCATTGATTTTAATTGTGTTTATTCTAATTCAATTGTGTTACATTTATTTTAATTCAATTTTTAAATATAATTTTTATATTTGAATATTTTTATAGTTCAGTAGAGATATCTCTTGGCCAGAAATTGAGTATCGTATATCTTATACTACTCTAAGTTGCTTGTTGTGTACTACAATGTGTTGGCCATATGATATCTTCAAACTGCTATTTAATTACAAGTCATTTATTAATATTCTTGTGGTATTTCATGTATTTCTATTTTTTTCTTGAAATAATAATGGCAACAATGGAATTTTTTTAAAAAGGAATACAGATAGTCCTCAATTTACAATAGTTCATTTAGTGACCGTTCAAAGTTACAGCATCACTGAAAAAAGTGACTTATGACCATTTTTCACACTTACGACCATTGCAGCATCAAAATTCAGACAGTTGGCAAAACTACTGCAGTGAAAGTTGCAGTGGGTCGGGATCATGTGATCACTTTTTGAGACCTTCTGACAAGCAAGGTCAATGGGTAAACTAGATTCACTTATCAACTGCTATTATTCACTTAACTGTGGCATAGGTTGTAAAATGGGGCAAAACTTAGTTAACGAATGCAACATAAATTTTGGGCTCAATTGGGATTGTAAGTCAAGGACTACTACCTGTATACATCAGTTTACTCAGAGATACAAACAGTAAAATAAAATCTGTTCAATTACCGAGTCAGTCCATTGTCCTGGGATATCATGGTCTTCAGCATAAGACATCCACTCCTGATTTCTGTATGCTGCAGGTGGTACTGGGATGAAATAACCTGTGAACCCAGGTCGGTTGGCCGCTGGGATGGCAAACACTGCTGGAACTGTATTTCCTATTAAAAAAATAGGGAAGGTAGTTAGTTATTGGAACACATTTTATAAACATAGAGGAACATTTTAAAGGACATCTGAGATGTTCCAAACAGTAGATCCCATTGTTTAAGTGGCGGTGGAGAATTTCTTGCCAAAAGTAGATCGTGGATATTACCGCATCTGGACCTAGTGCCAAGTTGCCACTATTGTGGCACTTTTTGTGGAAGAGAAGGCACCTAGATAAAGAGAGATCAGTACTGACATTCTATCTGATACAGCGAAGACAGCAGCATTATGTTCATGCAACTAGTCGCGGTACTTGTTCATTGTCCAAGCGAATTACTGTACCAGCCTTTCATTCCTTATTTCCATCAGTAAGTGACACAATGCAGATGTGTATTCTTGGATTTATGCAGAATAGAAAGAGATGTTCCTGGGCATGTTTCAAATAAGACTTGTGAGTATACATAATATATATGTGATATGAGAAACAAAATAAAATTCTAGTGTTCCTCTAAATGTGTTGCTTCTTTTGTAAAATTATTAGCTCAAACACCACCATGGTTCATTTTCAACGAAGTATTATTGAACGATGAGCAATCACAATGGGATTAAGAGTTTCTGGAAAGCACTAACAATCTGTTTTGATTATGTGAAATATGTTTGTGGGCAACCACGGTTTTGCACATTTGCACATTCTTCTGAGTGAAATTTTGTGTTTAGTCATGTTTTGAGCAAAATTGTTGGATTATTAAAGGGAATAACATTATAGATGTGACTGTCTTATGTTGTGTGCATCAGACTTTAAGATACTTCAAATAACCTAACATTTAATGTTATTTAAATCTTCAATTCCAGTGAAAAATCTGAGTGAATTTATATATAGTCAGTCACAATCTTGCTGTTTCCTAATCCTAATATCTTCATGTAGAGTTTACTTGTCCACAGGGATGACCTTCTTCATCAGATGACAAATGAATAGATTTTTCAGTGTCTGTCACTCGTATCTTCTGGGACGCACTCCTCAAATTGCTGATATCACATTACTGTTCTCAGCAAAAATGTTGCAAAGTATTTTTTTTTAAATGAACCCACCATTATTGTCTGGTCAGGAAGCACTGCTCAAGCACTGATCAAAGATAGCAATTATTCACATGTTAGGATTTTAAATGTTCCAAGTATCTCATCATGTTTTCTAGAACTCCAATTTTAAATAATTAAGTAAGCGAACGTTATAAAGCCTGGTTTTCTTTTTCTTTTTTCTTAAAAAAATATCTCTGCCATAAGTCCATGTTCGGGAGACAGCCTGTAGCATGTGCTATTAATATTTTATTTTCTGAGTCCAAAGATGTAGTTTGGTCTTTGCTTTGGCATACTGTTAGCATCTTTTGTGATTGCTATTGATAGAACTTTTGGAACCTAATCTTATCTGTATAAACTAACTGAATTCAATGGAACATATTCTTATGTAAATATAAAAAAGGCTACAGTTTTCTTCCTAAGGAAAATCTCTCCAGAGCATTATTTTGAAACTGTCTCCATATGCTAATTTTGCTACAACTATCTTTACTGTGCGTTTATATACCTCTCTTGGAATAGTATTTCAGTTTTACCTATTATAGAATTTGAGTAAAATTTATTGTAACCTTCCTGTGAATACCCATCAAGTGAAGGACTCAAGAATGACTCCATCATTTTAAGTTCTAAATTCACTATCATATTTATGAATACTATAATTTTATTTTCCTTCTTTCTTTAGTTCATCATAGCATCTAGGTAAAATGTCCTAATGTCAATGTGGTTCTCATAAGATCCTCTGCTGAATAGTGGAACTTGTATGCCTTATGTCTTCTTTCCTCCATTTAACATTTACTTAGGAATTTATACAGATAACAACTCAACAAGTCAGTGAATAGCACTTAACACTTGCCATGATTGTTACATTATTGTCATCAGTTGCTATTTCCTTTGTAAGAGCCTATTTATTAAACAAAACTACTCTCTTTTTGTGTCTTATTGACAAATATGTTTGCATATCTCAAAACAAAACACTTCACACGTAGAATGTTAAACAGAAACAATGTATTTTAATAAGACAAAGTTCCATTTTTCCATTTCAATTTACAACATAGTTTTCCAGCCTTCTTTGTCTACAATGGGCTTCTCAAGTTTGCGCAAATGTTGCTTATGGGTTTACAAGTTATAAAAGGAACCAAATATACCAACCAAGCAACCTTCATTTGGGAGAGAATATTAGAAGTTAATCCCATACCGTATATGTTCCTTGAGTTATGTCTCTTTAAGATCTCTCTGAGGTGAGATCTTAAACACTGAATTTGAAAGGTTTCTGGAAACTGTTTCTTCTGTCAATGAATACACCCCTGAATGAATATAGCACACGGTGTATTTACCTTATGGGCCTCAACAACAATTCTAAAAATAGCCATTTCAATAGTAATAATAATAGTAGTCATAATAGTCATAATAATAATAATAACAAAACAGAGACATTATATTACAAACAAAGTCCCTTGAATTCATAAGTTGGAATGATTAGATTTAACACAAGTAAATTATGAAATTAGAAAATATTTTACTGCTTAAAGGCATTTCCAGTACCAATATTTATACCACAGCTGTATATTTACACCACACTTTACAATCACAAAGATGGCTTGTAACATTAAATCCAGGATAAGGTTAGTGGGGATCTGCTATCCTGCTAGAGCAATTGTAATTTTCCTTTGAGTTGTCACAATTACAAATATGCATCCCCCAGAACTAGAAGGATGCAAACCAACACAAATAGAGCAGGTTTAACCTTTAATCCATGTTTAGAGGGTTGGGAGAGGGGGAATGGAACTTTTTCTATGTCTTCTCAAACCATTCTGACCTTGAGTAGAAGAGCAGCAGTGAGTATTTCTTCTATCCTCAAGATAAACAAAGAAAAGCAGCAAGGGAAAGGACCAACTGCTCTAGTGTAAATATGAAAAGATCACTCAGAATTAGAACCCGTATAAAGTCACCATCAATACAAATATGTAACTTACATTTCAAACTTTCTCTCTGAAAAAGGGAAGAACTGTGATCATGATTGTGCAGATCACTTAAACCAGACTCATGTGGCCAAGCAGAAATCTTAAAATACTGGTGGTAATAGTAATAATAGTCGAAGCAGCAGGCATTTTAAAACTGTAAAATTGTTATACATGGTTTATTCTCCTACAAACAACTGATTGAAAGTTGCTAATACTTTGGGAATTTCATGCTAACATTTTGAATCCCTTATAATTAAGATTCACCATAGAAGCATGTAAGAAGCATGACTGAGGAGAAAACAGTACTAATCCCCAGGCCAATTTCAGGATATATTTTACCTATTCAATCCAGAATATATGGCTCAACATTTCCTAGCAGGATTAGAGAACAAGATGTATTTTGTTATTGTTCCAGATTCTCTTTTCTGAGGTAGTCAAAATGGTTAGAGAACCCCAAATTATTTCTTGTAGTTAGTACTGCCAGTTGAACTGCTTATCTTTATTTTAGTCTGCATGTTCTTGTTATTTTTGGCGATTTCAAGAAAATACGATGACCTGATCAGATGAAAATATTCATATATTCTTGCAAGTTCCAGTTATAAATGAAACTATCTACCATCTTGAAACCATTTATCTGTGTTAGAAGCTGTATAGGATCTAATGGGATGGGATTCTAGATTAGAATAATTCCTCCAAATTTCACAGCTTCATGACTTCTTGAAAGCTACTTGCAGTGCTATAGTGCTTCTTTCTGCCTTTTTTCTAAAGAAAGAAGCTGAGATCTGCCTTAGAATTACAAATCGATGTACTGTATGTGAAAACATTTATGCCAACTTTCAAAATATCAACAATGAGTAGGTTAAAGTGGAAATATTACCCAATTATCTTCCAACCACCCATCCCTGTTAAATTCCAATATTTATTTAAGCCATACTCAAGCTGCAAAGTTTTCATAGCAAAAAAAAAAAAATCTTGTTGAAAATTAACACTGGTTGAAATTACAATTAAGAGATAACCTTTATTGTCACTTTTTCTGTGTATACACTGGCACACATTAAGAAATTCTGATGCCCATTCTATTTTCTCCATGTTGGTGTTATGGGTCTAAAGAACAGAAGTCAGTGTATGAATCTATGTGGGGTGTGGTGGAAGCAAGAATTCTTTTACAAAGATCAAAATATATGTAGAGCTATAGTGAATTAGGTTAGTTGCATTTTCTTTTTATCTCATGAAATTAATTTCTTTGGCTTACTCTATCTCCTTTTCTATGTTCTGCTTTTTCTGAAAGAGTGTATGATAACTATGTCAGCATTCAAACAAAAGGCAATTTAAAATATATCTGGGATTCTCAGAATCAGCCCTTATTCTCTTTTTAACCTTATTCATTCATTAATTTTTATAAACCAATACTGATTTCTTCCCAGAAAATAAGCTAGAATATTTTTGCAAACATGGAGTAATGCTGAAATATCTACACAATTCTTTAACATAATTATTCCTAAGAAAACTGGCAAAACCAATTCAGGAAGTCCTCATTTAGCAACTCCCTAATTTAATAATCATTCCTAGTTATCACCTGGCGGTGATTAAAAAAACAACAACTTTACAACAAATCCTGTAAAGCAAAAGAAAGCTGAAGTAAGAACATATGCCCAGTCGCAGTTTGACTTAGTGACCAGTTCACTTAATAACAGAGTTTCCAGTGCCAGTTGTGGTCACTAAATGAGGACTAACTGTATAATTAAAAATTTTTCAAATATCCAAATGTCAATAATAAAGCTACCTGTCTCAATTAAAACTGAGGCAAGATTGATGCACATTTTGAATAAATCTGAGCTTTAATTATGGAGCTGAAGTCAAATTTATTTAGCAAGTCTGCTCACTAAACTCAAATAGTGCATAGTAGCAATAACTTAAGTTTTCTTATTTCAATAGGTCCAATTGAAATTGGTTCATCATATCATTCTTTTCTTTCATAAAACTAGAGATGCCAGCATTCTATCTTAGTGACAATATCTTACATTCCACCTTTTCCAGACAGGGGTCAGAAAATCTCAACTTGTTCTATTATCAACACACTATTGATAATATATAAATATATCATACCAATAATGCTTTACTAATGAGTCACACACAGATATCTCTGCATCAAAAATATCCATTTTTGAAATATCACTCTTGAAATTCTAAACTGACCAACACGTAGATATTTAAACAAGCATGTAATATGCATTATTCTATCTTATTTTTAAAAACAAACCAAAATCAAGAAATTATTAGTACACGGTTTCCAAAATATTGTGTGACATTCAAAGAGGAATATTCTGGGTTGAGTCACCCTGCTTTCAGGCAATAAAAATTAGTACTGAGAATAAAGTAGCGAGAATAAAAGGAGGAGCTGAATGGATAAAGTATTTCAGAGGTTAGGATAAACTGATATATCCTAAAATGTAGGTTAAAATCACTGTGCTAGGCAACTACAGAGGGTAAAAATCTGTAACAATTTTGTGCAATCCCATTACAGATCAGTTCCAGAAATTTTCATCAAAAGAGTATTTTTCAGAAGCAGTCTATGACACACTATCTGTGGCAGAAGGCTGCCCAGAAGCACTTTCACTGATGATTGACTATTTCAATAAAGAAAAAAAGGCTTCAAAGCTAATGAGACCTATGAGTAAAAGAGCACACAAGCATTAAGCATCTCTTGACAACATGCAAACTGTGCCAAGTGGCTCCATGGAGACTATTTACATGCCTAAAGTTAAGTAAAATTCTTCAATGCGCCACTAGATCATAACCTAAGGCAATATAGTGAAACTTCTTTCAAGCCCTTTTTTTAAAGATGGAGAGAGACAGAGAGGGGGGGAGAGGGAGACAGACAGTGAGAGAGAGAGACAGTGAGAGAAAGAGAGACAGAGACAGAAAGGAGAGACAGAGAGTAGAGGCAGAGAATTTATCCCAATCATTGAACATTGCATGTTCCATTGCTTTCCATGAAAGTATACTTCGTATAAATATAACACTATATTATACCAAGTATAATTATATTTAGTATAACTATAATGCTATACAAGTATATAATGCTTGTACATATAATTATAATTATAGTCATTGATTCCATATAAGCACACCTAAAAGTGTGGTCTAAGCTGCTTTTATTTATGTTGTACTTTTTAGGGCACATCTGTTTAATAAAAAGTTATTTAACTGTTGATGTATTATTATATGCTGATCTTACAAAGACTATTAAGTTAGATTTTTAAAAATATATTCCTTATATAGGAAACATTATAGTACCACTCATTTTTATGTTATCAGATTTAAAAAAAGAAAAGGAAACATTTGTCAAATCCAGCAGTTCATTCAGCCAGTGTCATCTCTCTTAATATTTTTCCAAATATTGACAATTAAGAAAAATCAATTCTTTCTTTTTAATAAAAACTTGAAGAAATTTAAAGTAATGGCACATCTAATCAGTAGAATAGGAATGTATGTTTCATTAGTTAAGTACTTTATAAACTTTATAATACATTGTTCATTATTTTTTATTGTGAAAAACAGATTAACGTCTAGAGATGCAATTTCATTCCACTGACATTTACTGCTATTAACATCATCTAAAGAGAAACCATCAGAAGAGAAGTATTATTATTTCTTTTGGGAAGGGGGAAGGGCAAATGTTACAATAGCAGATAAAAGACAGGGCAGGGATGTCTAACTCTGGCAACTTTTCGACTTATGAACTTCAACTCCCAGAATGCCCCAGCCAGCCATGCTAAAATTGGACACCCTTGATCTAGGGCAAAATGATTTGGAAAGCACATACAACAGCCACTACCTGTATTTGGATTGGCATCCATGGTATTTGAACACAATATGTATTAAACCACAAAATGTAAAGGAGGAAAATCCAAAGAAAAATTGTGGCTTCAAGTAATACTGTTTAATCAATAAGCAAGTTAGCTGTTCTCCCCACAAACTTTTTCCATTCAGATTTTATTTATCACTAAATTGGTCATTGAGACTAGGAACAAGCTTTTATTTTAAAAACTATTATCTAATTTACAAAGTTGAACTTTTAAGAAACACTTCCAAGAAAATTGTTCCAAAATTTTGGGGATAATTTACTGTTTTTTGTCTACCGATGAGACTGAGATAGGGAAAACAGCATTTTAGTTAAAAAAGAAGAAGAAATCTACACCACATCTTTTGCACATGATTAAACAGCTAGTTGGCTTACCTTCCTTTCATCATACAGGCTGTATCGGCCAGGTTAAGAATAAATATTTAGTAGCAGCATCCTTTTTAAAAAATCTGCTTCTTCTAAATCTCTTTATTAGCCAAGTAAGCACACTAAACAAACTAGTGACACAACTATTCTTTCTTTGAAAACAATACATTTTTCATTAGCTGAATTATTCACCAATCAGAATAATTTTCCTCTGAAGTCTTAACTCATGAGCTGCAATAATATGTAATATCAGGAACACCAATGAAGTGGGAGATCAACTTTACAATGTAAAACAAGATATACTCCCAAGTCATTCAAACACAGGCATATACAAACATTTAGGATGTATAAATCCAAAGTATCTGATAGACGGCAGTCTTTTGCTCTGTTTTTAATCTAAGAATTATTTTGATCAGTTGGTTAATAATTCTACTGAATCAAAGAAATATCTTGAGGTACAAGTCAATGGTAGAATACTAATCTTCTCACCCTCCCAAAGTCTTGTGCAAATAATTATATAACTACTTTTCCTTTGCATGTTTCAGGATCAGCTATTACTGTCTTCAATTAAAGGGTCTCAGGCAGTTTGAAAAAAGATGTCGGAAATCCTGGAGAGCTCCTGCCAATCATACCTGGAGGCAGGTGAACTGATTTAACTCAGCATGAGGAAGTTTCATGTGTTACTGTAATATCATCTGCTGAAGCTGCTTGTGGCAAATACGCCTGCATGTATCATCATATTCATCTTATTATTGACAAATGGACTTAATCTGAACAGATTTGCCATATCAGAAACTTCTCAATTACCAATTGGAATACCATCACCAAATTCACTTTTGAACACTTTGCAAGGACCTAGAGCTTGGAAGCTGTAGACATCATGAAACAGCCGCATGACATTTACCATCAGTTCAGATTGGGTTCAATAAACTATGACGAGAACAGCAATTTCCCCTAGTTTTTTCTAAAAAGTGCCTGGCTTTTGAATCTACATGCATGCATTCAGCTCAAAAGTAATCATTGCAAAGGGGAAAAAAATACTATGATACATGGCCATCTGTTTTCTGTCCTATAGCGGTTCCAAGGTCCTGTCTTAGGAAGATGCTAATTCCAGGTGCTTCAAAGAGAGAGACTATGTCCTTTCTCTCCATTCCTCTCCTATGTGTTAGAAATATACTTTGTGTGATAAATGAAGGTATGTGTGGGGATCCTTTTATCAATCCTCCTCCTCAAGCCTTCAAGAGAACCATTAACACAGTTTTAAACAAGGATATTTGTTAGATCTCATACACTTGTCTCTATGCCATACAGACTTAGATGTGGTCTCTGTTTGTACCGCATGCGTTTTTCACCTGAGTAATTCAAAGCTGATTGATCCAATGGAGCCACAGTTACTGGGGCTTTTGATACTGGGACAAAAGGGACATGATCATGTGGCTGTATCTGTTCAGTCCCACTGGACTCTGATACTCTTGTCTTGCTGCCAATATCGGAAGTTGACCTGTACAATACATATTGGAAACATTAGTCATGTCAATGTCAAATATACCTTGGTCAAAGTCTAGAACCCATTTATTCTGGAACAGCACATTTAAGTACTTTGATGTAAATTATCAAAAAGCAGAACTGCTTCATCCAGAACAGCAGAATTACTTTAAAAGTTTGTGAAAGAAGATACAGAAAATATTATCATTTTGACATTTTTCACTAATAGCTACTTGTATCAGCTTTGCTGACCACTGCTTCAAACTAAGTTTGCTTTAGGTCATAATTTATATATTTTTTATCCTGTCCTGCATTTTGACATAGTAAACAACAGAAAACACCTATATTGATGTAAACAATGATAATTATAACACTTAAAAACATGAATGTTAATAATAACATACCTTTTTTGTTACATATTTGCTACATATATGCTAAGCTTACTCTTATTTTCGTTCTGACAATGAATGATGAGGCTGGCTGCCAGTGCTCATTAATAGTTTTGCACAACTATTCTGACATCACTGACAGCAAATGAGGACAGCTCAGCTGCTTCTGTATTCTTATACCAATGCACTGCGAAAATACATCATTCGTACTGTGTGGTGACTTTGCAGTATATTCCAAAGTAGTGTTTTTGTTTTGTTTTTAAATGCAGTTTATCAGACCAAGTGATTTTGTAAGACTGAACCACACAACAGCAAACAGCTACTCATACATGAGGTGCATTATTAAGTTAATTTGATCTGAGAATATAAAATTTAAAAGGCATTATCCACAATCAACATGAACAGAGAACTGTGCACTAAATATATAAAGTATGTTAACAGTATGTTAAAGCCTGTGTACATTTATTATGATTACCCAATTTACATCAGTAATATTACAGTAAAAATGTTCTAAATTTTTCTTGATTGCCATCCCCCTCAAAATTATTAAATTATCCACTGATCTTGTGCTTGACTGTATTTGCTTATTACAGAAAAAAACCAGGGTGTTCTATTAATTATCCAGTTATTTTATAGCACAGTTACTCTGAGATTATACCTTTGTAATCAAGGATTTAAATCATGGTTCAGACAATACTAGATAATACATTTTGCATATTTTACATGTCTAAAAAGTCTGTATCCAAACATAGATATATAGTTTTAAAATATTTAATCATATGTGAAATTCTACCATTTGATTGAATTTCAAAAGCATATATTAAATATGAGCTAGCTTAGCAGCAGTGTAGTTGAGCTTCAGCATTAATTACTAAGAAAATTAGAAATTTCTGTAGTACCTCCTAAGAGAAGTTATAGCAACAGGTCCTGTTCTGGGAGGCACAGGAGGAGGTGGAGAACCCATCACCATTTCAGGGAGTGGAGAAAACCTGTATGCCTGGGAAGAAATCAGAGATGTTTCCTCAAAAAAACCTCAATTATTAAAATAACACCAGGTTGTCTTTCTCTCCATTACAGAATTGCTTTAAAAGTGGTCTCAAAAGCCTAATAATTAAAAATATCTTCAAATAATTAAAAAAAATAAGCCTTTCAATGTACTCGAAAGTTCTCATTCATTAATTTTCTAAAATATCATACATATAATTTTACCAAGAGTCAATCTTTTTTCAAGATTAGAACATTTAACATATATAAAAATTAGTTATAGTTCAAATTGGGGATCCCCCATTTTCATTCTCCTTATTTGTCAAAAGTTAAATCTCAAATTAAGTTTCTTTGGGAAAACCCATGAAACATTATGAGTAAGTTATATTTGTTTTAAATTGATCCTAGCAACTCAAGATTCATGCACTTCTTTTGCACTTCTGTTTTTTTTTTTACACCAAATTTTACACCATAAATATTCTTAATATTTATTCATATTATATCCTTTTTTGGTGAATAGCTCTAATTGAAGAAACAAGAGACCACAATAAGCATTTATTTTTCCATTGCTTGCAAGCATACACTGATATGAGAACAAATTATTGCATGGATGTATGTTGAACTGATTTCAATACACATGTCGGGTAAGCAAATTTAAAATCATGTTTCCTAATAACTGGAACCTGAAAATAACACATGAATAAATTAAATCAATGGTATGTAGAAGTAAACAATATTGATATCTCATTGAGTAATTTCAAGTCATCTGACAGATTGCTGATTCTCATATATTTAACAAACCCAATAAAATGAACCAACATCAGCAATGCTGCTTTATATTGCTGAAAAAAAATAAATCATTATGGTAACTAGGATTTTGGTTTGGACAGACTGAGTTCCATTTAGTTACATACCCTGGCCTTGAAATTATGTAATTCTATGTACATATATATTTTTGTGCCGTATTTTATCATAGATCTTAGCATTTACGTCTTTTTATAAAACCACAACATTATCTATTAGAATATGAACAATAATTTTTTTCTTAAATCAACTGGCAAAACTTTGTTCATTTTACAATTTCACAACCTAGTTTTAAACAGACACACTGAAGTGTTTCTCATTCTTCCTTTGTCAGAGAAGGAAAAGATCTAATTTAAAATTGCATAACTATGACCTGATTGCTAATCATTCAGGATTAATGAGCCTTAGAATTTATGCCATACAGCGATACTTAAAAGTGTTTCACACATACAAAATCACCAAGAAAACACTAGATTGTACTACTATTCTTGTCTCTTTTGTAAAAATAATTCTAATCATCTGCATCCCACACATTTGATAATTTGTATTTTTCATTATCATAAGGGGAATTATTGGCATAAATATATGGCAAGATGACCTCTTTTTGTTTTTTGATTGAAGGAGAAAGACAGTGTAACTGTTTCAAATATATAACTAAAATATTTTATGATTCTACTCATAAGGCAATATTTTTTGAACATAATTAAACATAGGCTAGAATATGTATCTCAAGTCCTTGAATGCAAAGCATACTACAGGCATAAAATGTACCTGTCTTATCTTCATACTGTTGATTTAACATGCAAGTTTTTTTGTCTCTGGGATTTTTTCTGGTTCATGAACCCACTCCATGCCACTAGTAAAACTGCATAAGAGTTTTTGTGAATGAGTCTGTCAGTCTATCCCTCTTGCTCCCTTTAACTCAGGATAGAGACATGGTGGTGCAGTGCTTAAAATGCAGCATTGCAAGCTACTGCTGCTGAGTGTGGGCTGCCAGTAGTTTGGCAGTTCAAGTTTCACTAGCACAAGGTTGAGTCAGCTTTCAATCCTTCCAAGGTCAGTAAAATGAGAACCTAGAAAGTTGAGGGCAATATGCTGACTCTGTAAAACAACCGTGAAGAGGTATATAAGTGCTATTGCTATTCCTGATACTCTAGCCTCAGTTAGAGGAACCAGAACAATGAAAGGAAGCATGTAACTTCCAATATTGTCTATACCATGAAAAATGCTGCTTACTTCTACTGCATTTATGCTATTACCTGACACCAGGTTAATTGTCTAGTTTGGTAATTCATCTTGCACTAACATGTAACTCCAAGATCACGCACATAACCTTACACGAAATATACAATGTGATTCTAAAGACAAGTTTCTTAAAAGGCACGTAAAACACTGTATGGCAAATATGAAGCTTCTGTAGTGAAATGGATAAATATTCAACCAACAGAAACGGATTTTCCTTGAAAACATATGAAACAAGCCCACAATAGCTCTTTATGTATCATATGTAACTGATCACTTACAGGTCGTGGTAAACTGTACTGATACACTTCTGGTCTATATGTTGGTACCCACTGTATTCCACCTCTAGGCCGAGACATGGTACCAGGAGCACTGGTCACAACTTCAGAATATGGCAAATTCTGTGCAGAATTGTAAGTGTCTTGTTGCCTGTTCTGTCCTCCATGACCTGCTGAAGCCAAACTAAAGGCTTCCTCTAGTAACATGTGCATCTGTTGCCTAACTTCATCAATAGATGGCTGAGAACTCAGAGTTGAAGTCTCTGAATGGCCTTTTGCTTGATGGGCTCTGGTATAATTTCGAGATTCATTGACACGGTCAATATTTGTTTCTTCTATCATTTCAGGCTCAGTCTGTTGGATAAAATATAAGTGTTTAATGGAGATTGTTGCAATCATTTTTTATGATGGCGTTCATACATGTGTACAACGAGCAGATATGTTCACTCATCATCTTAAACCCTTTATGAACTCTGTTATTTAACAGATGTCCTGTGTGTTAGAAAAACACTAGGAAGCAAGGAAATCAACAAGTACAAGAGATCCCAAGCTTGCTTTCATTCTTCCTATTCAATTGTTAATTGCTCTTCCCACTCATTATAATCTTTTAATTAGAGAAGTGATAGAGATATGGTTGGATCAGGTGCATATTTTCATTCAAGCATAGAACTTATATTGGCAATAGATCTTTACCTTTGCCCCAGTCTTAGTAAGTCACTTTTACAATTTTATAAATGCCATAGACACTGTTATTCACTATTTGCTCTAGAAAATACTTAAGAGAAATTATAATCAGGCAAAGATGAATATAGGCCACTGTTAACTATTTTATATTAATAACTAAGAATGTTTTGTATTGAACGAAAAAGAGAATAGCTATCTAGCTTTGATTTCAATGAATTTCTGGCTGCTTAAGAAATCTATATCTTTTCCCCCAACAAGAATAGCAAGAATGTTCAAGAACAAGTCTGAAAAATGTTGGAAATGTCATCAGATACCTGGCTCATATTACCATATGTGGTGAACATGCGCGGATGCTAAAAAATATTGGACTAAAATCCACACATGGTTGGAAAAAATGACAACAAAGCATATAGACTTGAAACCAGAGATATTTTTATTGGGAATTTTACCTGAAATATACAGTAAAGAATTGAAATATTTGATTGTAAATATATTAATTGCGGCTAGGATCGCATTTGCTAAAGACTGGAAAAATGAGAAAATACCAACACAAGAGGAAGTTATTAAGAAAATACTGGAATGTGCTGAAATGAGTAGATTGACATTTGAAATCAGAGAACAAGAAGATAAACAATTTTATAAGATTTGGGATCTATTCTATCAATGGTTAGACAATAAAACATGGTAATGAAATACGTAGATTTTTAAAATATAATGAATATATAAAGATGTATTATTTTTATTATATCTACAAAATGATTATAGGATAGATTTGAGATGATAATATGAACTGCTATAAAACAAATTAAGTAAAATATGGATTACCTTGTAAAACATGAATGAATAATACTATGGTCAAATGATTAACAATGATATTAATGTATTTAGGAATATTTGATTGACAATACAAGAATATATACAATGTAATTGTAAGTGAAGACTATGAAGTGGAAGCACAAAACAATCTGTAAACCAACCGACACACTGTATGTACATATATGGAAGATGGCTTGATGTTTTTATGTTGTGTTTGTCTATGTTTGTCTTAAAAAAAATAAAACTTTTATTAAAAAAAAAAGAAATCTATATATTATAAAGATTACAAATGTTACAAGTATCTGATAAAAATACCTATTTTATGCCTTAATATTCTCTACATTGAGAGTCACAAGTACTGTCAACAAATTTAAATTTATGAATAGACTTGAATATTTAAAAAGTCTGTATTTTTCAGCTTTCAGTTAAAATCAGCTTTCTCTTAAACTACCAACACAAATTATATTTCATTACATGTTTATATTCAATTTTTCTCTTTAAAAAGAAAGCTCAAATCAACTAAGGTTAACATACAAAAAGCTGAATAAAATAATTTAAAAAATCTGATATTCTTATCTAATAACAAGGCAAGTGCTTTCAACTTGAAGGGTCTCATCATCTTGAAACCAACTGGAACTTAATGTTCATTCAAATTTCTTGGCAGTAACATAGAAGTGGTTTGCCTTTGCCTTCTTCTAGATTTAATTCTCCTAATTCTCTTCTCCTAGGTGCACTGATTTCCTACATACTTGCACAAACCCTCTTGCCCTCACTCTCACTAGATTATTTAGTTTCACTTTTCCCTTTGTTTTTACAAGGTATATACACTTAAGTGTAAACTGGAGTTCCTGCTCCCGCCCACATTACTCCCTAAATCACTAATGATAATAGTCTTCCCACCAGATCAAAAGTAGTAATTCTAGAAGAGTTAAAAATTAAACCACACTTTTTAAAGGACAAAGAGGTTCATTAAATAAATAGATGACATTGACTACTTTGTAGGATCTTCTTTGTAGGCATAAATAGAATAACATAAGAAGCAAATACGGTTATTGAAGCCATAAGATGCCTCAAAAGCCCATAGAGGCAAAGGAAAAGAGGTTGATTCTATGTTGGTGCTTGTGAAAGCCATATTTATTTGTTTTGTGTTAAGCTTATCAAATAGCATCTAGTACTTATCTGATCTGTACTTGTAATGATTTTTAATAATTGGCTGGGACCAATGAATTGTGGAATTGTGTCCTTCCAGTGATGAAGATAATTTAATAATTGTGGTCTAGTCACTATTTCTGAATTAGTTCTCTACCACATTCACTATATCCTATCCTATAGTAAAAAGAAAATAGAGAGATACAGAAAGATGAAACAGATATGAAACATGGTACAAACCAGTCTCCATAATATTTTAAATTTGCCTTTATAACAATAATGTAACAAAATACAGAATGACCCAATTGTAAAGGAAACACACACAGGGGGATACTGCCGTCAGGGAAATACTATGTACGAATAACTATACAGGTGAAACTCGAAAAATTAGAAAATTGTGCAAAAATTCATTTATTTCAGTAATGAAACTTAAAAGGTGAAACTAATATATGAGATAGACTCATTACATGCAAAGCAAGATAGTTCAAGCCGTGATTTGTCATAATTGAGATGATTATGGCTTACAGCTCATGAAAACCCCAAATCCACAATCTCAGAAAATTAGAATATTATATGCAATCAATAAAACAAGGATTGTACAGAGAACAATATCAGAAAAGTATAAGCATGCATATGTACTCAGTACTTGGTTTGGGCCCCTTTTGCAGCAAGTACTGCCTCAATGCGGCGTGGCATGGAAGCTATCAGCCTGTGGCACTGCTGGGGTGTTATGGAAGACCAGGAGGTTTCAATAGTGGCCTTCAGCTCTTCTGCATTGTTCAGTCTCATATCTCTCATCTTTCTTTTGGCAATGCCCCATAGATTCTCTATGGGGTTCAGGTCAGGCGAGTTTGCTGGTCAATCAAGCACAATAATCCTACAGTCATTGAACTAGGTTTTGGTGCTTTTGACAGTGTGGGCAGGTGCCAAGTCCTGCTGGAAAATGAAGTCAGCATCCCCATAAAGCTTTTCTGCGGAAGGAAGCATGAAGTGCTCCAAAATCTCCTGTTAGACGGCTGCATTGACCCTGGACTTAATGAAGCACAGTGGACCAACATCAGCAGATGACATGGCTCCCCAAAGCAACACAGACTGTGGAAACTTCACACTAGACTTCAAGCATCTTGCAGTATGTGCCTCTCCATTCTTCCTCCAGACTCTGGGTCCTTGGTTTCCAAATGAGATGCAAAAGTTGCTCTCATCAGAAAAGAGGTCTTTGGACCACTTAGCACAGGTAAGACACTTCTGATGTTGTTTATTGTTCAGGAGTGGCTTGATGACATTTGAAGCCCATGTCCAGGATCCGTCTGTGTGTGGTGGCTCTTGATACACTGACTCCAGCCTCAGTCCACTCCTTGTGAAAGTCCCCAGCACTTTTGAATGGCCTTTTCCTGACAATCCTCTCCAGGCTGTGATCATCCCTGCTGCTTGTGCACCTTTTTCTTCCACACTTTTCCCTTCCACATAATTTTCTATTAATGTGCTTTGATACAGTACTTTGGGAACATCCAGCTTCTTTTGCAATTACCTTTTGAGGCTTTCCCTCCTTATGGAGGATGTCAGTGATGGTTTTCTGCACAACTGTCAGGTCAGCAGTCTTTGCCATGATTGTGATTCCTACTGAACCAGACTGAGAGACCATTTAAAGGCTCAGGAACCCTTTGCAGGTGTTATGGCTTAATTAGCTGATTAGAGCGGGACACTTTGAGCCTAGAATATTGAACCTTTTTACAATATTCTAATTTTCTGAGATTGTGGATTTGGGGTTTTCATGAGCTGTAAGCCATAATCATCTCAATGATGACACATCACGCCTTGAACTATCTTGCTTTGCCTGTAATGAGTCTATCTCATATATTAGGTTCACCTTTTAAGTTGCATTATTGAAATAAATGAACTTTTGCACAATATTCTAATTTTTCAAGTTTCACCTGTAGCAAAGCCAGCTTTAGCTCATTGTCATATCATAGATTGCTCCTTTATGTTGCTGCTGCAATGAAGCACAATGAAGTATAGCACACTATAAACCTAAATGCATTTCATATTATGATTTATGTTCTGTGACACATAATGTGAAAACACAGACAATCCTTTTACAGTTGATGTTTCAGTTTTCTGAATCCTGACAAATATAGCAACGAATCACTATACTTCAACAGGCAGCAAGATTATTTATTACCTCATAAGCAAGTGCTATTTTTATTTTTTGTATTTGGGTTCTGGAAATCAGAGAAATAGGATCAATGTACACAATGTAAAAAGCAAAAGCCAAATATAAATCAGCCCTCATTGAAGACACTAGCTGGTGAAAGCTGGTAACAACGAAATAGATCCATGGTTTGACTTCTTGACATAGTTCCAAATAAATCTGTGATCTATCTGATCATGACATAATTCCAAATCACCTTAGAAACTGGAGAGAGAGAGAAATCCCTAGATTTCATTCTATATTAAACAAAATGCTTAATTATTTTTATATTCACTAGATCACTGTAGCAGTGAAAGCATATTTACTGGATCTTAATAAATGGTCCTTGCACATGAAATGGACCGTGCATGTGATGGACCAAATTTCCCTGGTAATTTACATCATTTGTGTAATCTCAGTCATATATATTGTGCCAATTTATGGCTTTTACATAATGACATCATTACTCAATTTAATATTTTGCATTATTTTAATATCATGAAAGTATCATTAGTCACTATGATAATATGCTTCCCTATTTAATAAACAGTATTCCAATTAATCCATTAACATGGAATTTCATTGTACATTTAAACAAAAAAGGCAATGCAAAGAAAGTGATATTTTAATATTGCAGAGGACTATGGAATAGCAATTTTGAATACTGACAGGGCTTTACATTTTTGTCTCATTGATAAAATAAATCTTTAATAGTTTCATACCAGTTTACTTACTAAAGATTGTGACAAAAGACAAAAGATACTGTAATATAGTTAAAATTCTGATGTTTAATAACTTGCTCCCAGTTTCTCTTGTCTTTCCCTCAAACTTCTCTATGATTTTGATCAGTGTTTCTTAACCTTTTCTTCTCTCAAGATCCTTCCAACTTTTAAAATTATGGAATATGGCAAAGGAGTTTTTTGTTTGCATGGGTTATATTTTTCAACATTTACTCGATTAAAAAGGAAACATGATGCATTCACTGCACCTATCATGCCTCATGATTGTTTGATGAGATTTTAATACTGTATTATTTTTTAACATATTGATTTCACAGATTCTAAGAGTCCCGTGTTCAAGAAACACTGATTCAAAAAATCCTTTAAAAAAGAAGGATAGGAAGAGCACGACTCCTTTCAACTTTGGTGTTGGAGAATACTATGAACAGCCAAGAAAATAAACCAATGGATTATCAAACGAATTAACTCAGAATTCTCACTCAAGGCACAAATGACCAAATTAAAAGTATCCTCCTTTGGACATATATAAAAACCAATCTCTCTAGAAAATGCTGCAATGCTGGGAAAGGTGGAAGGAAAGAGAAAGAGGATGGCCAGCAGCAAGGTGGATGGACTCAACTATCGTGACAATGAGTACTCCATTAGAAGACCTGAAAAACCAGGTTAGGACAAGATCATCAAAAAGAAAATTTATTTAGATGGTCACTACAGGTCAAAAACAGCTTGATGCTACATAATAAATCAACCGAAATCTCCTAACTATCAAACAGTCAGGAATATAACTGAAAGAATTTTGGTCAAACATGCAATGAAGAAGTAAAACATAGTGCAACTTAAGTTGGTATCAAGATACTCGGACATAAATTATTTATATAGCAAAGTATAGTCACATCCATTTAGTCTGTATATCTATTATAAGAAAAAACTAATATCTGGGACACTAAACTACTATTATGTAAGAACTTGAAATTTACTCTATAACTCTATAATGTAGCTTGTCTAACATCAAGCCCTGTATTGCTCTAGGATTCCAATGCCTTGACCAGAATCACTACTTATAGTATAATGCAGTGGTCAGATTCAAATATTTTTACTACCGGTTCTGTGGGCATGGCTTGATGGGCATGGCAGGGGAAGCATATTGTAAAATCTCCAGTATTTGCTGGTTCTCCAAACTACTCAAAATTTATGCTACTGGTTCTCTAGAACTGGTCAGAACCTGCTGAATACCACCTCTGGTACAATGTGAGGAAAACTTTTAATTCAGCCAGATCAAATAGGGGAAAGAATCCCACTGATACATTCAATAACCAAGAGTCTGGAGAAAATTAGGTTATTACTAGAAAATATGAAGACAGTGATATTATGTGTATAGTACCGAAAACATGAATAAATAAATGCAATATATTGCATCTTTTTTCAACAATATTGGGTTAAATGTGAAGCTGGTATTCTTAAACTGTTTAAAAATGTTTGCATATAAATAGGTTTCCAAAAATACAACAGGTTTTCTGAGTTTCAGTCAACTTTCTAAATTTTTCCTTTTCTAAACATTTGTTTCCCTTAAATCTTCCTTAAATTTTGATTTATAAGGACCTGAACATTGCAAATAGATTTTCAATCATATTTAACTGAGCCTTTTCTTCTTCGGTCAAAGCAAATGTTTCATGGAATTCCTCAATCAGAAGGCTAACATGCTCTCCTTATCAGTGCTCCTGATATATGAGTACAAATAAGAAACTTTCCCTTCAAAAGATGTAATTTAATTTTAATGCTTTTATCGAATTATGTATATATTAAAGATTGGTTGATCTTTTCCTTGAAACTGGGAAGATTCAGGTTATTTACATGTTGTGACATTGCAAAATAAAAGGATATAGTTCCACACTTCATTTTCGGGCTGTTTAAATTTTCTAATTCATTTGCAAGAAACTTTATTATTTCATCATTTTATATTAACAAAATGCTGCGCACAAATATTGCTCTCTTTTCTGGGCAAAATTTGGGCACAGCAAATCTGTATACACTGCCTTCTGTAAAACATTTTCGATCAACAGTTATTTCTCTTGCAATTTTAAAGCTCCTTTCAAAAACAATCTCAATTTCAGTGTTTATGTTCTCGAAAATCTGTTTTTCACTAGGGAGATTTTGATTAAATTTACATTAAGTATCCTGACAGAAGGTATAAGTAACAGTTCACAACTTTTCTGTGAAACATTATCTAAATGATGGTCAGTTTAATTTTTTGGAAAAAAATACATAAATCTTTTTAAATCCATAAAAATGAACATATAACATTCAACCTGATTTCAGGGGCTGATTTTATAAACCTTTTGCAAAATATTGATTCCCATTGCAGACTCAAAGCTGCAAATATGTAAATATATCATTTTGCTAAGATTTATAATCTATAATAATTAAGATCTATAACAATTCTTCTAAAGCAATTTAACATTGTAATATGCTCAACAAATGCAGTCTCCATACACTTACATCATATCCACTATTGCGAATACCGCGTCTCTGTCTTTCACGTGTAACTAGAAGGTCCATTTCAGTTTCTCCTGGACTAGGACTGTTCAAAGATTGTCTGCTTCGGTAAACTGAGGTTTTTGTTTGTTGCCTATAGAAAAAGGAAATATTTACATGTGAATAAAACAGGACAAAACATTAGTAAATCACTATGATATTTAGCCTACATTGATTTATGAACAATTATTAATGAGTTATATTTTAATAATTTACTCCTATATGTATCAATTCAAAATGTACAGCATCATCTAAGCAATCTCTGAATCAAATTATACACTGTTTCTGATGGTAGAAACTTGGGTGTAAACTGGATATTGCCTTGTGAATATGTATACAAATCTACAATTTTAAACTGACATAACTATCTATGTCTACATTCATAGAACGTAATAATCATACTAACCCAAGTTAAATCAGCTGACCATTCAGCTAAGTGACAACTTAATCCAAACTCCTAGTCTAAAACCAAATATTGTAAATAGGATTGGGTTTTATTATATCCATTTACTGGTGGAATGAAGTCCACCAGTCCAGAGCATTTTAGACTTCCTCAGGTAGATGTGAGGGGTTGCAAGAGAATAGATAGCAGATAATCTCCTTTTGAATGAAAATCCATTCAAATGATGTTGGATACTGCCCACAATCTAAATTAAATTGGCATCTGATAAATATTAATTCAATAAACAAAACAACAGAAAATTAACTGAACTGTACTTCATCTCCATGCCTATCAGATTGACTAACTGATCATGGGAACCACAGATTGATTATCTGTTACACAGTAACCATAACAAAATATTCAATAAAAACAAAGCTTTTAAAATTGTATAAATGAAAGAATTGAAGCTCATTAAGGAATTTAATTCTAACAAAATGACTCCTGTGTACTTTAAATATCACATATTAGAAGAATTTAACAGATTATGTATAACATATTGTACCACCTTCACAGACTGTACATTCTTCTTCAAGGCATTTCTCTGATTTTCTATTGAATTTGATTGCATGTCTTTCTTCCAAGCTTGAAGCAGCAAAATATGTGAACGTAGAACATAGAATACAGAGTAAGAATTGGAAGGGACCTCAAATGTCATCTAGCCCAACCCCCTGCTCAAGCAGGAGACCCTATGCCATTTCAGAAAAATGGCTGTCCAGTCCTTTCTTGAAAGCCTCCAGCAATGGGGCCTCCACAACTACTGAAGGCAAGCTATTCAACTGATGGGTGTTCTCACTGTTAGTAAATTTCTCCTTAATTCTAGGTTGCTTCTTTCCTTAATTAGTTTGCTTATCTTGCCTTCTGGTGCTTTGGAAAATAGTCTGACCCCCCTCATCTTTGTGGCAGCCCTTCAAGAATTGGAACACTGCTGTCATGTCTCCTTTAGTCCTTCTTTTCACTTGACTAGACATACCCAATTCCTGCAACCATTCTTCATATGTGCTTATATTCATATGTGCTTTGTATTTTGGTCACAGTTCTCATTATCTTTTATATTTTAGAGAAAGGTTTTTAGAAACCATTAAAGTTCTAAGTAAATGTGAAACATTTGAGAATTGGTTGGATCAAAAGCAATATATCCAAATAAATAGCTATATTTAATTTGCAACTTTTAACTGATTTCAAGAAAATTAGTCAAGCCACCTACAAAAGAATCAAGTTAACTGAACCAACTAGCAGAACTTAGCCGTAATCAAAAGGAAGAAGACAGAGTGATTATCTACCACCAGGGCATTTCTCTGTATCAGAGATTCTCAGAAGGACCTTTCCCTAGTTTACAAGATATTGAACCTGATGGAATTTTATTTGATGTCAAATGTGGGATTATATCCACATTTAATCAAAATATTGTCAACTTGTAAATAACATGGAACATTATGAATTATATACAAAATATAATATTGATCAAGTTATTAAAGAAAATTATAACAGAAGCCCAGAGGTTAAGTTCAAAATGGAAGGTATGATTTCCGGTCTACACCACAGTTGAAGACTAATATGGGATATCCAGACATCTTTGAAGTAAGAGTTTGTTTATAACTTTTATGGTGAGAAGGCTTACTGTAGTTTTTCCCTATCTACTTTGAAAGGGAAAAGTTTACTGAAGAAAGCTTTTTATCTGACGAATGCTTTTTAATTCCTAAAAAAGTAAAAAGCTTACACCCCATTCTCAGCTCAAGTCAGTAACTTCAGTCTGGAAATACTAGTGGTCAGGGATTATGCTTTTTTTTTTTTAAATGCAAGATAATTTCTGGTAATTTACTATGGCAAACAGTGAGCATGTTCCATGCACATTGGAAGTGATGTTACCTATTACCTGGCCTTGGAATACAGGAGCTATATAATTTTTCATTACAGCTTTAATCAAAACTCATGTCTGAAACAAATCAATCAATCAAATCTTAATTGTACTCATGATCACTGCTATTTGCTGTTTCAAAACATAATAGAAAAGAACCTTCAAATTCTGAAGACTGTTAATCTGTTAATTTAGTAATATAACATTACTAAAACTACTAAAATACATAGGTTCTAAAACCTCTTAATTATGTTTCAATACTTATTGAAATTTTAAACAAGATAATATAATTTTATTGCTAAAAATTAGAGTACTGGCAATAGATGAATTCAAAATTTATTTGCTTTAATGGCCACTGCTTTGTAATGTAACCAAATTGAAATTTAACAGAATAGCATCAATAAAATTCCAGACAGCAGCAGAGACTATGCTAATACCCACTAAACAGCAATAGTGATCAAACAGAATTCTACTACTTTCCAGAAGTAGAAAGGGTATTTCTGAGATATCTGTTAAAGGCAGAGAATAACATTATTGTGATGGTGCTTTGTGATGCCTGGAGGTTAAAAGTACTGTAATTAAACTTTGTACCATATGTGAATATAAAGGACATTAGAAAATGTGCACAATCAATTCAATTTCTCTCAGAGTTCAAGGGTAGATATCCTCTTATATAAGTGTACTATTGAATTTCTGTCAGAAGGACAGAAGGCAAGGTATCAAATCTGCTTAATATAAAAGTTCAACTAAGTGTTATATGGAATATACACTGCTCAAAAAAATAAATAAAGGGAACACTTAAACAACACAATGTAACTCCAAGTCAATCACACTTCTGTGATATCAAACTGTCCACTTAGGTAGCAACACTGATTGACAATCAATTTCACATGCTGTTGTGCAAATGGAATAGACAAAAGGTGGAAAGCATAGGCAGTTAGCAAGACATCCCCAATGAAGGAGTGGTTCTGCAGGTGGTGACCACAGACCACTTCTCAGTTCCTATGCTTTCTGGCTGACGGTTTGGTCACTTTTGAATGCTGGTGGTGCTTTCACTCTAGTGGTAGCATGAGGAGTCTACAACCCACACAAGTGGCTCAGGTAGTGCAGCTCATCCAGGATGGCACATCAATGCGAGCTGTGGCAAGAAGGTTTGCTGTGTCTGTCAGCGTAGTGTCCAGAGCATCAAGGAGCTACCAGCAGACAGGCCAGTACATCAGGAGACATGGAGGAGGCCGTAGGAGGGCAACAACCCAGCATCAGGACCGCTACCTCCACCTTTGTGCAAGGAGGGACAGGAGAAGCACTGCCAGAGCCCTGCAAAATGACCTCCAGTGGGCTACAAATGTACATACGGCTGCTCAAACGGTCAGAAACAGACTCCATGAGGGTGGTATGGGGGCCCCACGTCCACAGGTGGGAGTTGTGCTTACAGCCCAACACCGTACAGGACGTTTGGCATTTGCCAGAGAACACCAAGATTGGCAAATTCGCCACTGGCGCCCTGTGCTCTTCACAGATGAAAGCAGGTTCACACTGAGCACATGTGACAGACGTGACAGGGTCTGGAGACGCCATGGAGAACGTTCTGCTGCCTGCAACATCCTCCAGCATGACCGGTTTGGCAGTGGGTCAGTACTGGTGTGGGGTGGCATTTCTTTAGGGGGCCGCACAGCCCTCCATGTGCTCGCCAGAGGTAGCCTGACTGCCATTAGGTACTGAGATGAGATCCTCAGACCCCTTGTGAGACCATATGCTGGTGCGGTTGGCCCTGGGTTCCTCCTAATGCAAGACAATGCTAGACCTCATGTGGCTGGAGTGTGTCAGCAGTTCCTGCAAGACGAAGGCATTGATGCTATGGACTGGCCCACTCATTCCCCAGACCTGAATCCAACTGAGCACATCTGGGACATCATGTCTTGCTCCATCCACCAAAGCCACGTTGCACCACACACACACTACTGAGCCTCATTTTGACTTGTTTCAAGGACATTACATCAAAGTTGGATCAGCCTGTCCTGTTTTTTTCCACTTTAATTTTGAGTTTAACTCCAAATCCAGACCTCCATGGGTTGCTAAATTTGATTTCCATTGATAATTTTTGTGTGATTTTGTTGTCAGCACATTCAACTATGTAATGAACAAAGTATTTAATAAGAATATTTCATTCATTCAGATCTAGGATGTCTTATTTTTGTGTTCCCTTTATTTTTTTGAGCACTGTATTATTGACTATCTGACTACTAAGAAAGGACCCTCTAACATATACTGTGTATTTTTGAAATATGGAGTTACTTTGTAGCTGTGTAGCATTTAAATCAAATTAATAAATAAGTAATAGAACAAACACTGTCTTATTTCTCTTTATCGAGGTTAAGCAGTCATGGCACTTCATATTACTCTGAATTAGTAAACTTACTGAAGGTGACGGTAATTAATTGTGCAGATATATCCTCATTTTGCACATATTGAGAGGTATATCTTTATGTTAAAACATAACAGTTTTCAACAAATACAAACAGATTCCAATTTGAGAACCTGAGAATCCAACTCTCAAAACTTCCCAAGAATAGACAGTTCACTGTTTCTTCTACTCTTCTCCAGGTAGGATGAAAAGAAGCAAAAAAAAAAGAATACAAGCATTCTGAGATCACAAAAGTATAATCAGTACATTACTACACAGGGCAGAAACCAGATCCTATCTAAATTCTTTAAATCTCACATTTAAAAATTATCAATCTATCATCTCACATCCCACAAGAGAAACTGGATGAAACACAGATCAAACATTACTTCCAATAAAAGTAATTGAAAATTTTATTTCATAAGCATTCAGACAGATGGAGCGGTCCTTTGTAGCAGTTTGTCCTGAAAGTGCAATAATACTTAAAATACTGGATATATAGCACAAAAGACGATAACTTTACACACAATGAACAATATATAGTTATGTTAACAATTTAGTGAACATCAACTTCAACTATAGCAACAATAGGATGACAACATTATTGTTTCTATTATTGTATTGCATCTCCCAACAGCCAAGCAATAAATACCACCCTTTATTTGAATTCTCTTAAAAATCTCCTAAAAATAAATTACTGTGTTGGGAGCCTCAAATGATTCCTCCAAAACCCCTAACAGATAACAGAACTTCATAAAAGAGCAAGAACAGAAAGACTAACTTATTTCCAATAACAAAAGCTTAAAATCAATAAAGTGCCAAGAAGATTTGTCTGATTAAGTCCCATAAATGCAGCTCTGCTTGATCAGGACTAAGTTGATCAATAATAATACTGTACGATAGGAAGCCCATATAATCTCAAAATTTATTTTATAGCTATTTTTAAACTGTAATTAACTACAGAATGAACTTTTAACAAATAAAAGAATTAAATTTTTATCTATATTCAGTATAGACAAATATATGTGTTTATGTATTTTGCAACACTAAGAACAAGTACTAGAATTAATTCCGAACAAATAAGAATAATCTCAGTATTGGGACAGGATTTCAATGGGATCAAAAATAATAGTTTCAAGTGGAAACCTGGCTAAAGTTTGAAAATAACTGTTCCAACCAGTAAATCAAAATAAATGTCAATAATAAAAATTCCTGAAAGTGCTTTTTTATAAAAGCAAGCCTGAAAAGCTGGGATGACAGACCATCATGCAAAACAAACTCAAATTTTTCATAGTGTATTATAACCAAAACACTATGAGTCTCCTTAATTTTTATTTGCTAGGAGTTATTTTGACAAATGGATAGGTTATTAAAATGTTTTTCTGTTACTCTTATACGTATAAGACAGCAGTAATGGGTTGGCACCAGTTGCACATTTAAGTGATTAAATAATTACACTGTTTTCAAAGAGATTATTAGGCATTTCTTGATTGAATTGTGAAACTATTAAGGGGAAGGGGGATAGAGGTACATTATAACACTGATTATAATGAGCAGCAACCTTTGTGAAATTGTCTTGAGATTATAATTAGCTGAAATAGAGAAGGTTTAGTAATGAAGGAAGTATTAGCACTAACAACAGGCATAAGGACAGGGCTGGCCAAGGTCAACATGGAAAATAATGTAAGGATTTAAAGAATTGCACATATGGCGATAAATTTTCAAGAGGACTGTAAAGGACTTGAGACCCAGTCTTTATACAGTTTGCAACACCAATTTGTTTTTGGTGTAATGTTTACAAAACATACAAATAAATATTGATTTATAAAGATATGTCTGCATAAAGCAGTTTGTTGATAATTATTACAATTCAGAGTAATGAAAGAAAGAAAATACAGAACAAGAAATAGGAAAATCCATTCCCTTTCAAGATTTCTAAAGTGTTTAGTACAAAGAGCAAACATGTACTATCTATATATTTTGTCAAATATTTTTTTAGCATCTAATGACAGGATTACAAATTGGTCATTTTTATTTAAATCTGTTAAATCTATCTAACTACCCTAATATTTTCTGTTATTTGTTAAGTTTATATAATCCCTACTTGATGATTCTTCATAACGAATGGTAACACTTGCTGTAATCTATTTGCTAACACTGCAATAAAAATCTTTTGTGCAAACATAATCAATCAACTTGGAAGATAGCAGATTGCGTATAATCTTTACCTGATTTTGTTATTTTTGTAATATAAATCTAATTAAATGCCTCTGATAATATTATCTTATCAAGTATTTCATAATACAATTTTGGCACCAAACGATATATAAATATCTTATATCACTTTATAGGAAAACCATCCCCTTGTCATTTTTAAAATTATTTGTTTAATAGCTGCCTCCGATAGTGGAGTAAATAACAGTTGTTTTTGTGTATCAGCTAAGTGCAGTAAATTTATATTACTTTAAAAGTCCTCTACATCATCATGTGATATATTCTCTGGGTTACCATATAGTTCTGAGTAACAATTTAAAACACTAACAATTTATATGTCTTGAATTTTTATATATCTCACATCTTTCACCTCTAAGAACTGCAATCATTGCCCTATCTTTCTTTTGCTTTAAACAAGTCTTCCTCTGTATTTATATATAGCAGTACATGGGCATCTAACCATCTACGCCCAAAAATATTTCAATTCATCTTTCAAATGATTTTCCTTGTTATTTTTAATCTTATTTTTCTATGATGCATAATCAATCATTCTACTTTAGTTATAAGATCTATATGCTTCCCATTCAAAAATTTAGGCACTTGATGCCTCTGAATTCAAATCGAAGTGTTGCAAAGTCGTCACCTGGACAATTTTTCATTTGATTTCATACACAACAAAAAAATTATTTTGAATTTAACATTTAGCCTATACAGAAAAGGACAGTCTAGAACAGCATTTCGTTAGAGATATAAGAAGGATATTGCTTCTTTAAAACAGGTATTTCAACACTGTCCTATATTTAGTAAGTTTTGGGAGAAAATAGCAAAAGATATCAATGTAGCTACAAAATTAAAATTTTCAGAAGATAATCTTTGAATTAAATAACTAGTACATGGTACAACTGGGCAACATAAATGGATTCTTCAGCTAAAATAATGCAACATTGGAAATATAAATGTATAGCCCCCTTTAATCAATGGACTGTAGATTTGCTTACACTTGCTACTTATGACTGGATTTGTGATGACTCCCCTTGATGGTTCCCCAGATACCGCTCCAGATGTCAGCTTGGAGGAGGATGAACCAGTTCTGGGCACATACGGAGAGGAGTCAATGGCTCCAAGAAGCCATCTGAGAGGAATATGGCCGAAGCACAGCTCTGGCAAGGACAGCCCTGAGGCTTCAGATGGGGGAAGCATGCAGCTGCAGCTGATGGGTGATGGGGATCTGCCTTCTGCATCTGATCCAAGAACACGTAAGGTAGAGAAAAAGCAAGACCAGTGAAGGTCAGCCTGATTCTTCATGAGGAGGCAGCCTCACCCTTCTTGATGGGCTGTACCAGAAGCTGGCTATTTAGCACAGCAGACAGATGGAGGTGATGCTGGGAACATGTTCATTTCCTAACTGTGTGTCTTCATTTTGGATCATGCCTTGTGAAATCTGGACTTTTCTTGCCTTGTGAATCCTCTTGTGTTGTGGATTTAATTTTGCCTGCTGGGTTTATCCTGTTTGGGATACTTTCAAGTGCCTTTTGGAATCATTGGCCATTGCTCTGTGGACTAGCATTGGTCTGCTTTTCGCTAGACTTAATTGAGACAGTTCTGGGGTTTTGGTGAAGGAAATTGCTGGGGAATATTAATAAACCCACTATACCTCCATTATGTACAGATGTGAGTGAGCAGGACAGCACAATATTAAATATAGATATAAACTTTGTATGGATAAATACAACAAAATAAGGGACTCATATATACAAAATAATATCGGTTAAAAAATGACAGCTATGTAAGTATATTAGAAATTAATACTCAAATGCAAATATGCACAGGTGTGTGTGTGTATAATGCTAACATTAGATAATTATTTATAGAATTATAACAGTTTATTGCAACAATAAATCATTTTTTAAGAACTGTATTTTTTAATTACAGGTAGTCCTTGTTTTACAACCAATTGCTTAGTGACCATTTGAAGTTACAATCTACTCGAAAAAGAAGACTTATGGCCTGGATCTGAAGTTGCAATGGTTGTCATCCCCCCCATGACCACATGACCATACTTCAGGGCTTGGCAACATGGCTGCATTTATGGCTGTTTGAAATGTCCCAGTCACATGGCCACATTTTACTTTCATTTTTCCACACAACTGCTTAACAACCATGGCTTTCACTTAATAACAATCTATTTTTCTAATTTCCACATAGGTAGTAACATAATATTATGCAAAACACATTGGAGGATTGTTACACGTTTGATTTTTTCTAATTTTTTAGTCATGTTTCAATTACTTCATACTCTTTACACAGATTATATGAATCTATTCATTATTCATTTATATTTCTACAGTAATCTGTATTAATTAAAAAAAGCTTTCTATGTAATTCAGGAACTATTTTATCTTTTGCTATGCATGTTGGGTCTAACTCACAAGCTGTTAAGCAGATCTCTATAACAGTGTTTTGCAGTATTATCACTACATTATAAAATGAAGATCTCCATTGACTAATACCTTGAAAACTGACTTTTATATTTTATTTTTTGCATCCTGTTTTTATGAATGCTATAACAGATTAAGAGAGAAATTATTTGGGCTGGGTCCTTAGTCCACTCTCAATAGTAGGAAGCAACATAAATTTTTAGTCATAATCAACAGAAAAGATAGAACACTATTCATCATACTGCTTTTCAACTTTTAAAAATTAACATCTTGCTACACTTTCATTACTTCAAAAATGATGCAACTAAAAATATGACAACTCATTCAGCAGAGGATGGCACACCACAAAAACACTATTCATATGCAAATGAACTTGTCACTTCACATTAACACCTACCATATGACACCTAGACAGCAATTCGCACATTTTGTCTTTTTTATGGAACATGAAGATTTTATGGGACATGAAGACTTTCTACAAATATACATCAAAAAGCTACTCACCTGTTTTTGGGCTCTACAAATGGAGAGGATCCATCTGTATCAGGATCCAGAATATGGTCTATTTCATTTTGTGTTTTTTCATACATCTGTTTTCTATCTGGCAAGCCCTTGTTGTCAATTTGTGGGAAATCATAATAGCCTTTCCGCTTGGCTTTCAGTCGCAATTTGTTGCGATAGTGTTCTATATCAGACTTCTGTTTCAAGGCTTTGTTAATCTGACAATAAAATTTAAAAGGGAAAATATACAAATATACAAATTATGAGGTTTTAAGGTGACTAATTCTCTGAAACGACAAACACAGTGGAGTTCATTTCATCACACTATTGAGAAGTTTTTAATAATTATTTTTAAGGCTTTCAGATAAAGTGTGATGCTACACATAAATGTAGAGATCACTCAATCCTAATGAAGACAGTAATTTCAGATCCATTGTTTATAGTAATCATTTAAAAATTGAAAAGAATACTGAATCAGTAACAGTTTAATGCTAACACTTAGGCAACCTTGGTCAAATTATATGGTTTAATGTATTTCTAATTAAACAAGCACACTCAATAAGTTACACAGTTGAATATGATATATTTCTGCAAATCTGAATGCATGCTTACTATTTATATGCTTCCATTTACTAATTCAAAATAAAAAATGAATATGGAAGACAAAGAGCATTTAGATGCCCTTTTAGTTAATTCCATTGCTTTTTAAAAAAACTACAGAGCTGCTAACAAGCCTCAAATGGTGATTAGCTAGTTAGGCCTACAATTACCAGGTGAAGAGAATAATACTGATGAACAAATACTCTGCTCTTCTAACCTCTTATTGTTCCCTATTTTCAACAATCATGGACTCCTCTAAGCAACTGAACATTTGAAAAAAGAAAAAAGAAAATTTACTCTTAAAAGCCCAGGGAAGAATATTAAAAATCTCTTTAAAAAACTTTCAGTTATGTGAACATGATTAAGAAATGGAAGTTACATGCAGAACAGAACCCACAGATCAAAAGCAGATGAAAGTTTTAGCTGGAGAAGCTTATCTACACATCTACTGCATAGGAAAGGTGTCAGAATTCAATCAATTTCACCACAAAAATATGCTAAAACTTGTAAAGAAAACCCTGATAAACATGGAAGACTTGTTTATTTTATCCTATTTATTAATTAATTCAATTTATATAGACATCCAGTCAACTCGGGATTGCCCATTTGGGGCTCTTAAGTGCTTTGGGCTTACTTGGAAACGAAAACTGCACTTTCATGTTCAATCACATAATATTGCCCTTAAGTGAAGCATTTGAAAAGAGTACTTTGACCAATAGTTGTCTTTTCAAATTACTAAAGAGAATTACAGAATTCTCTTTAATAAGATTTATTAAGGGGAAAGTGATAGAATTCCAGCAAATTCTTACCAACTATTTTCAATTTAAAGCTAATGTATCTCAGTATAGAATATGGTGATGGTGATAAGAATCTTTTTTCTCAGGATTCCCATTAACTTACATACATCAGAAAAGAGGTAGTATCCTCACAGATAATAGGAACAATTGCAGATGATTGTTTACATAAGTCACTTGGATCTCTACAACCTAATGTCCCATAATCAATGAAACTAAAAGAAATAATAAAGCTTGGATAGTTCAGCAAGACAAGTCTGAAATATATCTACAAATCAACTACAAAATATTTACAAGAAAGAGGATAAAAGTTTGGAATGACATTCTTAGTCCCCTGATTTGAATATTAATTTAAATTTATAGAAGAATCCATAGAAGGATTCTTGTAGGAGGAGACCCAACAATATTTCTGAGCTAGAATTCTGCAGGAAATAGTGAAGAAAAAATTCCAACAATTCCAAAAGAAAAATATATATTTTGAATTACATTTTTTTTTACATGTAACCATGTCAAAACTCAGTATCAGTAAATAACATTAGCGGTCTATGCCATATCCCAACATGGATGCTCAATGGAATGCATTGTAATATAACCACAGTCTAAACCAGGGGTGTCCAACCTTGGCAACTTTAAGACTTGCAGACTTCAACTCCCAGAATTCCTCAGCCAGCTTTGAAGTCCGCAAGTCTTAAAGTTGCCAAGGTTGGACACCCCTGGTTTAAACCATGCAATGTAGAACTGAATAACTATGTGTTACTAGGCAGCTTTTTGTGTAACTTGAGGCTGTAAAGATACTGATTAAAGATTGTCAAATGACCTTATTACAGCAGAGGTGAAAAGAACAAATGTCAGCACAGTTTTGAAAGATTATTTAAGAATAAAGAAGAATAAAGAAGAATCTGATTACACATTCACATATCAAGGCATAGTTGAAGGGAATATAAACTTTATAGATGGTTGTATAGGGAAAGAATAGATGCAGTAAAAATACAAACTTAACACTCCCCTTGGAATGTCCTCTTTAAGCAAAACACTTTGACAAATGTACATAACCTGCAGTAAGTTTCATTATCCCTCTTATCCTCTTGTTTTCTTTTAACTTCCATACAGGGGAAACTGTTCACAATTATATTTAGTGATATATTCAGGCTTTCTTTCATAATTTAAAATATGACATCTATGGAAATTTTCATAATACTGTATAATCTTAAGTCAGAATTTCATATTCATTATCCAAAAGTTTACATAAAAACTACATTGTTGATAGAGTAGTAGGAGAATAAAATTATAGAAGTTTGCCATCCTTCCATTTCATCATCTAAAAATTGTTTTCCTTCTAAAAACTAATCTTCTTTGTTTATGATTAGTTTTACTACGTGTAAAGATAAACAAAGAAAAATAATGCTAATTCAGTTTCACCTATTTAATGGTGAAACTAATGCATTATTTTTTCATTATATACATTTACACATATTTGATGCAATTATTTTGATGCAAGATTAATCTATGAGACATATATTTTTCCTTCCACTTGATACTATGTGTCAGGCTCTTCGTAACAGAAAACAAGATTCTCACAAAAGTTTTGTTTTAATTTATTGAAAGAGAAAAGAGATTAGATTACAGAAAAATTCAGACAACTGGATACTTTCATTTTAACGCACGATTTATCTTTAAATTTGCTCAGTCAGGGTCTTCTTAATCGCCTTGCTACTAATTGTTGGATGGACAAGACAGATCCTAACTGTTTTCCTGATAACAGAAGAATGTGCAATTGTTCTGAGCTAATAGTGTACTGCAAAATGTTATCTACTTTCCCAGGCTCTGAGAAGCTTCTAACATTACTATACTTGAAATACAGATGGAGAAGAAAAGAAAAAGAATTTCTCTTCTAAGAACAGTGCATATTTATAATTTCCAAAAGGTAACAGAGGAAAACATATTTGGTAGAAAGGACAATCTGAAGTTTAATTTCTTTGCTCTGCCTCTCAGAATTGTTTCCAGAATCACTGGACGATTCCACACAAACTTTTTTTTGTCTTTGCTGCCTAGTCACCAATTGGCTTAATAGTCACATTATTGAGCATTCCCTCCTCATATCACTTCTTTGACAGATATATCAAAGCTCAACATACAACAGAAAACCAATTATGAGATATATTCTTACCTCTCCATTAAGAATAGCTGTGTCTTGGGTCCTGTCTGTTCCTGGGTGTGCAGAAGACAAAGCTACAGGCTTTATTGCAATCAACTGTACAGATCCAGAAGATGTGTCAAAGGGATCAACGGCAGATTTATTCACATTGTCAAATACCATGCTTCCATCCTCTTCATCACTTAAAGGCACTTTTAAAATAAGTTAAAATTTAGTCAATATATTGTTTTGTCATTTTACATTTGGGCCACTGTAGGAGAAAATAAAAATGAACTATGCCAGATATGGTAAACTGGAAAGCTAATTCTTCTAGCTAGAATCATCACAGAATAGAAAACTATAGGTTTTATTTTTCCTTAAAATAATATATACTATATATCCCCTTTTTGCAATCCTGTAATCTCACAATGCCCATCCTGATGCCTATGCAGAATTTGCAGCAGATAATTTTTCTTTGGGCCCTGGTAGAGAAATATCTGCTGCTACACCACCAGTTGAAGTATTTACAGTATGCTGATGATACTCAACTGTATATTTTCACTCTTGGTGAGCAAAGCAATGCTATGGCTACCCTCTCGCGGTGCTTGGAGCCTGTGGAGGCCTGCAAGGGGACAACAGGTTTCTACTGAACTCTAGGAAGACCGAATGGGTTGGGTTACATGGGGCTCTGGGATGTGAGATGTTGCCATCTTTGACTCTGGATGAGACGGAATGGCCCCAGACAGATCCGGACCACAACTTAGGGGTTATCCTGGACTCCAACTCTGGCTTGAGTAACAGGTGCAGTCATAGCTAGGAGAACCTTTGCACAACTTCATCTTGTGTGCCAGTTGTGGCCTTTCCTGTATCAGGACTCCCTGCACTCAGTCATCAGGCCCTAGTCATCTCATGATTGGACTATCCAATTTTTCAGAGATTGCTCCAATCCAAAAACAACCCTGTTCCCTTTCTCTCCACATATTCAACTGGGGACTGGCTGCTCTGCTTTCATTTCTCTTACAGGCTCTTTCTAGTTTTGTCCTGTCTAAACTACTACAGCATACCACAAAATCAGAAACTCTGGACCACAATATATCCCATTAAAGATAGGAATGTTTATAAAATCCTCATAAATACAATTTTTCATCACATATAGAAGAACTTTTAAAATAATCAGACCAAGGAGATGAAAACACGTAAATTAAAGGTAAATGTTTTCTACCATTGAATTTAATTCCTGGTGTACTACTTGGAATGGCTATGAAGATTTCTTGGCAACAACATGGAAACAGATTGCCACTGCCTTTTTAGAGCATGTTTTTCTAATTTCTTACTCTGAAATTTCCTGGTGGATTTTTATGAATAAAACAACCAGTTCATATACACAAACACACAGACATGCTGAAATCTAAATATATAGATTTTATAGTTGCAAATTCTCAAACACTTGTTCTGCAATTGGAGGAATATTCTCCTCTGTCTTCTGCAATTTTCTATCTGCCTCAGATAAGTTAAGGTATATATTTCTGCAAAGTGAATGCAGGGAAAGGCGCTAAGTCAGTCCATTATTTCATGCTTAATGGCTAAACAAGGATTCACAGCTTCCGTGCCATAAGGCAACATTCTTTCATTTTCCTTTCATTCTGTTAAACAGCTACCTGAAGCCAAAATGTACGGCATCTAATAAATAGCTTTATAATCAGAACAGCTACAGTAGCAGTAGCATTTTTTTTTTATAAATGTGCCACTACTATAATTTGCTGATAAAAAGAAAGCTTCCTGAAAGTAAGATCATCCTTTGGGTTCTAAAAGTAAGGTAAATGTAAATATTAATACAACATGTTAATAAAATATCAAAAACTCATTATTTTCTACCTTAAAACTATGTAGGCAAAATAACAGCATTATAAACATCAGAGATGCTATATGTAGGTATCTTCAGCTTCCCTATCATATATAAGGCTTGATTTGATCATTCATGCTCCCTTGCGATGGGACATCTCAGAAATCATCAGTAATTTGAATTATATTTATAATTGGTTTTGAGAAGAAATTCATACCCAAAGAATATGGTTTCTTACAGATTTTGAGATTCACTTGCAAAGGATTATGGCAAATTTTCCTTCCCATTTAAAGCAACAGCTGTTAAACAAAGCTGTGCATTGTGATAAATATCATAAACCTGGAGAAAGATTGGCATAATCTTTATCTAAAGCTACTGTTTTACCCTTTGCCTGTAGTGACTTCTACAGCATCCTTTATATTCATTACATCCAACTTCTCTTTCCAAAGCTCAGGTAAGCATTTACTAGCAAACAGAATAGTTACTATAGAAACTGCAGTTCATTTTAAAAAAAAGGTTCTGCATATTTGTACCAACACTCTTATACTGCCAAGATCAATAATGTTTACTGGAAAGGAATACTACACGGGACTGCACAAAATTGCATACAGACCACCTCATCCCACCTTCAACTTACAGAACGAACATTATGAGTCCAAAGTTACACATGCTTATTTGAAGATAAAGGGTGCTAAGTTGGAAAGGCAAGAAAACCCACGTGTAATTTTTTTTCTTTCAGGTTAGGGGTTGAAACTGCAGGTTATAAACACAAATCAGGAACTAAGGTTTCCTCTTCAGGAAAGCTGTCTCTGTCCTAATCTGTGATAAGGTATCCAGCAATACAAACAATAAATAATACAGGTAAGTACTGACTACTCATTTCTCGAAGTTCCAGCTGTTGTACTATCCCCATGGTCACGTGGTTGCAATTTGTGTGCTAGGCAACCAGCTCACACTCATGACAGTTGCAGTGTCCCATAGATCACCCATATCACTATTTGTGACCTTCTCTGCAAGCAAAATCTAAGGGGAAATCAGCAGAGAAGTCACCTATTGCTCCATAAAATTCCCTCCTCCCAGCTTCTTTGTATGTTTGCTGACCTGGTCTCCCTGCACTCATAAGTTATTGAGGTCCTTGCCCAATATTCATAAAATATATAGAATATGCATTAAAATGGCAATTAAAAATTGTTCAATGAGTTAGAAAAAGGAAGGAAGGGGAGAGAGAAAAGTTTAAAAGTTTCAAAAAAATGCATTTTATTGGATAATATTTATTGTCTCACTCTAGCAGTAAGGCAAGTTTTGGCTACATTTTACAGAGTATTGGTTTTTAATAGTCTGCTAACCGACAGGAGATGTACCACTGGTTGTCTCTCCATTGGTTGCCTCTCCTTGGGAATTCCTTTATGAGAGGCTGGATTAATACCTCACACAGGAGCAAAGTCATTTGCAGAAGAGATTTCCTTTTGGTATTTACCATCAATAACTACTGACATGTATATGTGTTTAATCTAGCTAAAACAAACGCTGTGATGTCTATTGCTTATTAAGAATCAACAATAATCAGCTGGTTTGGTGGTAAAAGACAGCCTCCAAGGACTTATGTAGCTTTACTTATGTAGCTAATCTAACTTGCACTTGATGGAGTAGATATTAGATCACAAAAATTCATACCATTCACCTTTGAACCACCACAAAATTCTTTGAAAGTAACAAAACTTACTGACCAATGGTAAACATAAATAACTACACATCGTATAAAACTACTAACTAGTAATTTTCCTATTAACTAATTATACTACAGCAACTGGTTAAGTCAATTTAACATATAACAACTAAATGGAAATTTGAAGTCTTATAACATACACAGTTTTAGGAAAGTTCTTTTATTTACAAGCGTCACTAAATCATTCCAGTGCAACAGTGCAGGAGCCTAATTTCCCATCCCTTTTAAAATAAGATAAAAATGGCACACAATGAGATCTGATATCAGATGAAGAGACCTGCTCATACATTAGTTCATCTGTTTATTATATGAATTTGAGAAGTCTTAGAAGCTTTGAAGACTGCCTTAATTAAATTCAAGAAAATGAATATTATAGGATATCACATGAAAATGGAGCAGCATTAAAATACTTTGGTAGGGAAATGATTACCCAATGACCTATGAAAAATGTTTTTCATAATTAATCTTAAAAGGACAGGGTTTAAATTAGTTTCCCATTATTAAATTAAATTCCCAATCCTAATAACAAGTTCTACAGTTGGACCTTTTGTACTTCTACTAGTACTTCAAATGTGTATTCCTTCATTCACACATCTTGTAAGATGTTGTATGTCTAAATTACAGGTTTTAAAAGAAAATTAAAGCCTTTCCTTAATAGTAACCATGAGATGTCACTATCCTCTTAATCAGAAAAACAGGACTTAAAATTGGTTTGCTACTATGACAACCAATGAACCAATCTTATATTTGATTTCCTAAATAAACCAATGTGAACAATAAAGACAATTTTCCTCATTTTCAAAGTCTGTTTCTTTTCTTAAGAGATAATATATGTTTAATCCTTGCATTAAAAGGTTGCTCAGTTAATTTACCAAAATATTCATAAATTTACAGTTTTATTAGTTGCATTTATAAAATTACTTCTGGGAGTAAAATTCTGTCAACTAGGTCTGTTTGGATTGTTCTTATCATTTACTGTTCCAACATTAAGATTTGTTTTCTATGTATATCTGAAAAAAAAAACCCCACTCGCTTCAAAGACAGGGAGTATTATATATTTAGCACACTGAATATGTATGGCATGACACTCTGAAACTGAGCACAAGCTACTGAGAGAAGCTACTGGTTTAGCCTGAAAACACAACTGAATGAGCTATTAACTGTACCTATAAAAAGTGAATTCATCTGGTTTAACTAGAGGTTCCTAGGACTTGAGCAAGATCTTCCTGAATTGATGTCTCCTCTCAGCTCTGATTCCTTTTCTCAGTATTTGGTTCTCTCTATGTATAATTCAGAAATGAAACTATAATTCAATTCAGTTGTTCTGCAATAAGCAGAAGTATTTTACTTCTATGCTTGCTTGAGATTATATTAGGTCTCTCAAATCATCCTTTAAACTTTTATCAAGGAGAAAGAAGCATCTTTTTATCTAGTTAACTAACAGTGAAATTAATAAAGATAACTTGGGAGATAGTTAAAATACCGGCTATAACCAAATAGGTAAAGTCAAATAGCTTCCTTCCTTCCTTCCTTCCTTCCTTTCCCCAAACTGCAACTTCATCCATGTAGCTTAGTTTTCATTTTGAACTTTTCTGTAGGTTCTTGTAAGGCCTTTTCTCTAAAATAAGATTAGTTTCTAACCTTCGTTATTTATGCTCACTAGGTATCTAAGTTAGTTCACCTCACTTAATGAATGTATGAATAAATCAATTCATCAGTGAAATAGGAACGAAAGCAGCCACCATGAAGGAAACTTGGTAGCAGCTGGGAGAGGCAGAACCTGAAAGGAAAAGGGGAAATTGCTGCAAATAAACTGCCCTTTTGCTGAGGAATATTAGTTGCAATACCCCTGGAGCAAGATGATTGATAACTTCCTAATAAAATGTTTATAGTCACTGGATTAAATTCAGGTTTAGCATTCTCATAGCAGATTTATATTGAGGTTTTTTCCCCACACTTTTTTTCACTTAAATTAAAGGTGCAAGCCTATTTAAAAGACACAGAGACAATGGTTAAAATTTTAACTTAAAGAGAGGGTTCTGCAAGGGTACATGAGATAGCATTTATACTAGAAACAGAAAAGAGTTAGAAAATATGATAGATGATTAAAGTGACAGATAAAATTGGCATTGATATGTAATGGAATATTTGTTAGTAATTAAATGAAACAAAGAGGATAAGAGAATAAGACTCTCAATGATTTTAAAAAAGTATATAATTGAAAAGAAACATGAAAGATTTTAAATGAAATTAATATCAGTGGACAGGATGAATTTGAACAAGAATAATAATTTTATTGACTACTGTTAATAACTATTGTTTTGTTTTTTGTTTAAAGACAGTATGAAATATAGGTGATTAAAGTGAACAACAACTGATATTATTAGGTAATGTTTGTTAAAAGATGGAAATATTTTAAATAGAAATGTAAAAGATTGCCATCAATATTAATGGCTGAGGTGAACTCGAATAGAATAATTATTTCATTTACTATTGTTATACATATATATACAGATATAGATATATAGATATAGATATACAGATAGATAGATACACACACACACACACGCGCACATACATTTCAAGAACTTGGTGTGTACTTTTAAGGGAATGTACCAAGCAGAATTCGGTTGATAATAGTCATGTGTTATAAAATAGAGGTTAGAAAATGAATGGTATAACTGTAAAGGCATTATTTAAACTTTAAACAAGATTTGAATGGATAATAATTAAAAGATACAAAGGTGTTACACTCCAGTCTAGTAATTACAGTGGAAAATTTGTTTTATGAGAAAAGAAAATATGAAATTGTAAACAGGACAGACAAAAGTATTAAAATATTGATTAGAAAGATACTGAAAATTAGAAAAAGATATGTAATTGAACTTAGAAAGGAATGAGATAAGTAAAAATAAGGTTATAGAAAGTAAGGAAAGGGAAAAACTATTGAGAAAACTGCAAAAATAGTTATAAGATATGGATTAGAATACGTAAGATGAATATGTAATTGAGTTTATGTCTGTATGAAGAAGTGATAACCCGGGAGATGCTGTTCTCAAAAAAAAATTATTTTATTTGTATTTATATGTTTTGTGAAAACCCAAATAAAACTCTATAAAAAAAACAATCACAAAGCCAGAAAAGACTGAACAAATGTTGTCTGTTATATGTCTGAATAGATTTGAATGCCTTTCTCTTTCACTTGTTAAGAGATCATGCACTATACTGTTTAGCAAAGTATTTGTTTTTGCAATAGAACTGAGTTGAGCCAGACAGAAGTGGGCATCTATTTGAAATTATGCTTATAAGGCCAGTAAAAAAATGCACTGCACACTTGGTTTATCAAAAGCCTTTGACAAATTTCTTCTTGAAAAAATACTGAACAAATCCAGCTGCCATTGGATATATTGACAAATGTTCTTTTAGATTGGCAATGTGTAACAAACAAAATAGAGAATAGGGAAAAAGTAGCCAATTTTAATACTGACAATAGATGTGCAAAGAGGCCCCATAAAGATTTCCTCAGGGACTGGTATGCTTTTTGACTTGTCCATAATTATCTAGAGTTGGGGTTTAGCAATGAAGTGGCCACGTTACCTAATGATAAACTATTCATAGTAATAAAATTGAAATGGTGAACTCCCAAAAGATCTCTCTAAACTTAGTAAAAAAATTTACTAATTAAAAATGTCTTTATAAAAAACTATGGTAATAAAATACTTGAAACACCATGTACATGTCTAGTCGATGCACCTTAAAAAAATTATAAGGGGCATTCCCCCACAAAAAGTAACCAAAATATTTATTAGTCAAGGCAGTTCCCCTAAAACAGTGATCCCTAACCTTTCTGACTCAGCGGAGTTGGTGGTGTGGGGAGAGGGGATGTGTGCACCACTTTCACAAATGAAGCTTCATGCGCATACTCGTGAACACAACTTCTGCAGCCCAGTTCTGAACAGGCTATGGCCTGGCACTGGGCCACACCCAGGGGGGTTGGGACCCCTGCCTTAAAAGGAAAGAGTACAGCTATTTAAGTTCTTTAACATAAAAAGGAGAGTAATGGGAATTTCGATAGTTTATAAAATTGCACACCTCCTAGGTAATGTGAATAGAGTGATTCAGGATAATATATATACCACATAAACTGAAATTTGCTATCAGCAGTTGTGGCAATGGAAACCAATTTGGATATTAAATGAGGACTGGATGGTTTCCATTGGTAACTATTTAATAAATGGTAATGACTATTTACTACTTCCTAAAACACAGACAGTATGGCTAAAATACTGGTTACCAGGAAGTAACAATTGAAGGGTCTATCATCCTCTCTTTCAGGCTAACAAACTCGTAAAATGCAGTTGGATGCTCTGACCCTGTAGAGCTCTTCTTATATATTAGCTCTCAATATTGTATTGTCACAATTTCAATAGCTTTGCTCCAAGTAAGTTTATAAGTGGATGCAAACTAATACAAAGATTTTCTTGTTTAAATAGGAATCTCTTTGTGAATTCTCCTTGTAGGGGGCATGCATAAGCGCACCAACGTGCCTACTGTCCCTGTCCTATTGTTTCTTTTATTTTTCTTATATGTACCCATTTCATGTATTCATAACTATGTATATACTTATACCTATTATCTTGTAAGCAATTGACAAATCAAATAAATAAATAAATAAATAAATTTCAATAACAATTATCTACATTGTAATGATTGATCAGAATTATGGTGAGCATTGATCAAATGAAACATTAATACAATTTTATTTAAAATGCTATTGTGAGGCCCAAAAACTAAATAAAAAATAAGCACAGAGAAAACAACATATCCTTATAATATAAAACAAATAAGATGGTATTCTGGAATGATTCAAGAAAGGATTTTTAAAACACGATGGTTTAGCACATTAAAATATTGTGAATGGAAAATAACATGCAGGAATTATTTTTTTCAGAAAATTTTTAAAAACTTTATGAGAATTAATATTAGCGACCACTTGCTTTGAATAGTTAGTATTCATATCTGGTAATATAAAATTTTTGGACATTTTCTGATAATTATAAATGTATAGATATATCAATTATACACAAATATAAATGTGTATGCACAATACCACTAGATTGTTCACATTTAATAGCATTACTTTCAACCAATATATTGAGAAAAATATTCTATAATATCATCTAACTTTTCAATATTAAGCAATTTGAGAATGATCCCAAGATTTTAAGATTATATTAATTCAACTGTATACTGCTTTTCACATTTACATTTAATGCAGAAGTTCTTTCTGCACATTTTAAGAGAAGTGAAATTTCAGATTATGTCATTTTCATTAGCAAAAGACATTGTTTTTTATCATTTATTTTTAGAGTGTAAGACAAATAAGTAACACTTTACACAATATGACCATACATACTAAAAATTAATATCCAGTTGTCATTAAACATAGCTGGTAACTTAAATAAAAAGCCTATTTCTCTTCTTAGGACCACACAGAAACACGGAACTAAAGGGACAATGTTTAAGAAAAAACACAGCATGCTACAAACTTGGTACCACAATTTTTATACCCAATCAACAAAATTAAGGGACGTTAACAAAATTGGCCCAATTAAAGCAACATCAAAATAGAAATGGAAAAACATGTACTGTAAACCAAATTTAGATCCAGACCATGCTGCCCTATTTTTTCCTAATACACCAGGAAACGCAGCAGTGATCAAAATAAAGACTGAGGTCATACTAAAGAGGTGGTCTATAGAACTCAAATAAGGGTTACAAATAAACAAAACATAAAAGAGAGAAGTGCATTGTAGATAGGTGTATGGCATTAATTCTAATTCACTGCAATATTATATTCAGTATTATATTTTCTAGGGCAATCTGTCTCCATGGGAGAAATGGAAGGTAATTTAGTAGATCATTCACCAGGACATATTTCTCACCATTTCTTTTTCTTCCTTCCTCTTTTGTCACTTTCTGTGCTGTTACTTTCTGTGGAGAGCCTCGGCCTGAATTGGGCTTTCCTGATTCATTGCTGATGACAGAACCATTTTCACTCAACGACTGGCTGCAAGTAACCATAGCAACAAGGAAGAAGACTAAGTTTTTCCTGCATATTCATCATTTCAAGGTTATTGCATTTGCTTGACCTGTATCACGGCCTATTCCAAGCCTGATTTTTATAGACAAATAAATATTTATAGTATGTTGCAATGAAGAAACATAAAAACAGCAGGAAGGCATCCATAGTATTTCCAGGGGAGGGGGTTGTTATAACAACCAAAAGTCAGAATAATTTCTATGCATGGCTATTGTTTTCTTTATAAGCTCACAATAATAAAAGGAAAATCTTGCAAAAAAAAAAAAAAAGACTAAGGTTTTTCCCCCTCACACAGATGCCATTAAATAAATAATTCTCAATGCATCTTTATTCTAATATTGGTTTAGCATATTGCTATAGACTCATTCCATGCCTTTTTATACAACCCAAAGAGAAATGAAGAGTATTTTTCATTAGGGAATTCATCTTTAGCCGTATTTCAAAAATAGCACTAGGATAACGGGCACTATAATAATCTAAAATGTTTAATAGTCTCTGGAAAGAGGGACAAAGCTTATATATTTTTTACCACTGCAAGATTTCTTTTTGCGAAGATATTCTGATGTGGATTCATATTCCTGTTCACAGCCTGTGTAAATATTATGCACACATTTTAAAACAGTAAAGCAAACAGCAGAGCACAGCTGGTTTAATAGTAAAATCTGCAAGAAACTGAGAACAATCTGCTTACATTTTAAAAATAGCTATAAATCAACCATCACGCTCCCTATGCCTTATTAAGCAAGCAATTATTCTATTTTGAATAGAATTTATTTCACTCATTCTTACTTGGAGCAGTTCATCCAATGTCAAGGTCTAAGCATAACAGCAAAGAATAGGTCTAAGCATAACAGCAAAATAATTAGCTGGAGATTCAGTCAAAATCTGTAATCTCTTCTATGTCACTGTGCACAAGACAGGTGAACCAATCTAAGGCAAGCATAAAATGGTATATATTTTTCTCTGAAGCTGAGATGTTTCAAAGAAATATCAAGTGACAACTCACAACCATTTATTTAAGTTTTATGAGCTATTACTTTGACTATTTTCTGCCCTTGTTCTGATGAGATTTTAACTGGGGGGAAAACAGAATATATTTTGTTCTATGTTCTGATTTTCCAGTGAAGGAAACTAAGCTCTCATAATTTTAAAATATATATCCTGTTCCTAATGTATTCCAAGGTATACTGTGTTGTATCTGTGTACATGCACGAGAGTAGTCCTTTGTTAACCGTGTCCACATGTAAACAGTTAAGACAGATCTAACAATCTTCCAGTCTTAAGATATTCTTTCTAGTTTTCTGCTTTCAAAAACGCATGGTTTAGATACCTGGGTTTTTGTATGTTTGTTTTGTTATTAATGAACTTTAAGTTCAAACACTATGGTAAACTATGCAGCATGATCTGTATATAATTTGGACAAAGAATGTGCAAATAAGTTCTGCAAGGAATATACTGATCATTCAAAGTAAACCAGTTAAGTCAGGAATTCTAATTTATTGCTTGTGCAAATGATATAAATGTATTGGACTGGTTGTTCTAAATAGAATATTCTTACTTTCTTGTACATGCTATACAGATTGTTTGGAGCTCAAAAGTACTTTGAAAATGGTTAAAACAGCCATTTCTGAATTTGAAGCAGCTGTTTTGGATGCAAAACAGAGCATGCTGATTTTGAAATTGTTTGAATTCCATCTGTTCACCCCAAGACACAATTACATTATTGTCACAATATATGTTATCAGATTCTAGATTTTAATTTCAGAATGTGCACAATATGGTCATATTACACGTGTTAACATGTTGAGGTCTGTTATGCATGGTTTTTCATGCTACAGAACCATCATGCTGAGAAATGTATTTATGTACTCAACAATATCTGAGATCTACAAGTTCCCTATCCCTGACATATACTAAGAGACTTGTCAGAAGAGGGAAAACAGTTCTTAAAGGGCACCATCCCATTTGAGTTTTAAAAATGAACCTAGTTCATATATAAAGTTGTGCCAGGATTTTAGCCATGGAATTATATACTCCATTCAAAGGCCAATTTAGCAGTTATAACATGAACTAATTAAAATTCTATGAATAAAACATTATAGTAGTAATTTCTGGAAATAACAGAAACTGAGTAGCAACTGCCTACTTGTCTTTGTTCAGAAGGCTTTGAATCTCATGCACCAATGTGAAATGAGAAAGGGATTTCTGTATTGTGGACCTTATTGGGCGTCTAGGGGCACTCCTAATCTATGAACCAGTTTCTTTAAAGCATCTATAATTCCATTCAGAGAAGGCTGATTAAGTCTCATACGTGCAGATATTGCAATGCTTTATTTTTCTTGATATATTTTTTTTAAATCTAAGTATTCAAAACTATATTGTACCACAGAGGTTTGAGCAGATTTTCTTGTATGTGAAAAGACTGAAATTATAAGCAGAGAAACAATTACAAAAATCTGTCAATCATCTAAGCCTTAGTCTTTCTGCTGATATTGCTCACCTCTTTCTTGCGTCATTGGACTTGGCAGTTTTTGCTGTGCTTCCATCCTGAACGATTTCCCTTTCCTGGGATGCAGGAGCATCTCTCACAGGAACAGGCAAAACTACGGTCTCTTGGGTGACAGGCAAAACATCATCTTCAGTCCCTTGTTGGCCTAAATGTTGCTTGGCGTAGTCAAAGCCTTGAACTGGCTGGGGAAAAAAAGGGGGGGGGACTTGCATAAATGATATATATTGCATGTATCTAAAAGTGATGAAAATCTGTACTTAAATGTAAGATAGTTTTTGAAATGAATTGGTATTCATTTTTAAGTATTTTAAGGCTGAATTTAAAACTATCTTTTCTACAAAATAGAACATCTACTGTTTAAACAAAGTAAGATTACTCCAATTTCACGCCTCCATTTCTGGCTGGTGTGATTGATGTGGTTCAACTTCTTAGCATCCCTAATATCCTCATATGAGTTGCATTTAAATGGCAACAAAGGCAAGAGATTCCAAGAATAGCGATGGTAAAAGAAAAAGAAAAGAGAGCAATGGCAACAACAAGTGAGCATTTGAAAAGCATCACAGGATGATATTCAATCTGGCACAATTTTACTTTTAAACAGACTACTGTCTTAACTGAACTGAAATCAATAACAAGATTCAGAGAAGTAGAAAAGAGAAAATTCACTTTTGACCTTGCAAAATTACTTGTTTTGAAATATTAATCTTATAAACTACAAAATAGAAACCCGTATTTCACACTTTTTAACTACATCTTGGAACATATCCATTTTTAAACTTTACCAGTGGGACACAATTGTCTGTTATCCACAATACCATCTGCTTCATATAAGTATTAACTATTCATAAGACAATAAATTACATAACAGATGCATTAAATATTACACAAGTGCACCGGTTCTAAAATAATAGTTTAAACTGAATCTTTACAATTTGTAATTCACGGTTTAAAACAAATGGAAACACAATTCTTATTTTAATTTTTTTCAGATCAAATATTCATCTGTAACTATCACACGTCTTAAATTTGAGCAAAAGGAAGATAATTTAGCTTAAGTTTTATGGCTTTCCCTTTGGTATCATAAAGAAGCAAAGAGTAGGACAGTTTCACAAAATGGGTGCAAAGTAGATCTAGGGCGTAGAACTATAACATCCAATGTCCAAATATGTTGTCATATATTTGAAGTTGGAATGAAAAAAATTAGGATCTCTTAACAATCATGCCAGAACTGTAAAGATATATAATTTTAGTGGGAAACCTCTTCCAATTTCATTACTAATTAATATGGTTGGATAAGAATAAGTAGCTGTGTGTGCAGCAGTAAAATAAGGTAATCCTGGAACTAGTTCTGAAAAGAATGCAGAAAGCTGATTTTGATGTAGGTCTACAATCCACCGACACTCCATTTGTACAACTGAAATAATATGATGAATCTGTACAGTCAGCTTGTGCATAATATGTGCCTGTATATAAACTTTAGAATATAAAAACTATTTCTACAGAAACTGAACTGTGAATAAGTATTAGCACCTTTGAAACTTGTCACTATTCATTCATCAGTAAGATTTCTTAAGCACAACAGAAAATCCCTATGTGACACAAAATAAACCAAGCGGGGGGAAAAGGAAAATATCCATTACTATTTTACCGGACAAAAGGAGGAATAGAAATATTATTAGCACTACTTCTTCAGTCTTAACAATTAGCAATAGCACTTAGACTTACCTTCACAGTGCTTTACAAACTTTTCTAAGTGGTTTCCAGAGTCAGCATATTGGCCCAACAATCTGGGTCCTCATTTTACCAACCTTGGAAATAGTGGTGGGATTCAACTTTTTTTTACTACCAGTTCTGAGGGTGTAGCTTGATGGGTATGGCAGGTGAAGGATACTGTAAAATCTCCAGTCAGAAGTGGTATTTGCTGGTTCTCTGTACTACTCAAAATTTCCGCTACTGGTTCTCCAGAACTGGTCAGAACCTGCTGAATACCACCTCTGCTCGGAAAGATGAAAAGCTGAGTCAACCTTGAACTGGTCAGGATTAAATTGCTGACAGTTGGCAGCATTAGCCTGCAATACTGCATTCTAACGACTGCACCACTACAGCTCTTCTGTTTAATTAATGCTTATAGGGCCAATAAGGTCTGAATCTTATGATTCTATGTTGAATGAAACCAGCAATGGTTTCAAATTATTTTTAACACAATCACAACTTCTCTACTGAACCCAAACATCCTTTTTTAAAAAGCTGGACATCATGCTGTTCAAAAAGTTGGTTCATAAAAACTTTACTTTTCTTCCAATCTGAAATTATTAATTACTTTGTTGAAATACAGTTGGAAGCACTTATACACAAATCACCTATGCACCTATTATCTATATGTGCCCAAATTATATCTATACTTTTCAGTTATTTTTTTAAAAGAAAAATATAACAGATTGAATAAGTACATGCAAAGTTTCTCATCCTTTCTCAATTTTTAACAGACATACCGGTAACATGTTTTCTTTGTTAAATATAAACAAGATGTATCAAAATTCAATGATCAATTAATTATCAAAATGTTATCTTACATATTTTTTTTTTATTTTACTTCTCCCCTGCTACAGTCAAACAAATCTTGGCAGCTTAGATGTTATATAAACAGAAATTAAAACATCCATGACGGGTCAAAACCAATCAAAACAAAAAGATCAAATAGGATGATAACCCTATCAATCTCACCTAGATTCAAAGTAAGTCCTCCAAAATAATGGTTTTTTTAAAAAAAAATCAGAAAAACTGACAAGGAGAATGTCAGGCTGATCTCCATCAGGTGCCTGGTATAAAGCTCATCACTTTTGTCATGTAAACCTCATAGAAATGTGAGGAAGTTTCTCCCTAGCTGTTCAAATTGGTTGGGTTGATGATGGTGTGAGCACATGGACATGAAAGTATCCAGACAGAAGTCATAAATGAAAATGCAGGCCAATACCAGCATCTTAAATTTTACCTGGAAACTAGTCTACAAAATGAATGTTATTACATTCCCAATCATACACACCAATAAACATATAGGCCAACACATTCTGGACTAATTGCAAATTGCAAGAATATCTTTTAAAGGGCAGCTTAATGTAATAGGTAAATTCGTTGCAATAGGTAAAACAGGCGATAATAAATGTGAATTACTGTAGATAATTCCTCTCGCATCAGGTGGAGCTGCAACCGGCCCACTAATCATAATTTCTGGCCACACCTCTACCTGCTGATAAACAGGAACTGTGAATTCTCTAGGATAGGGATCCGCTGCTTATGTAGAAATTGTATAGGGAGAGTTCCCTTTCCTCCTATTCCTCCAAATTCATTAATCCCATTTGGTCTGATTTTTGACTCAACATTAAGATCTGCACAGCCTATAAAACTGCAAAAACTCCAACTGTGAACTAGCTTTACATTATCATTTTCTGGTATACGTATTTATAATCAGAGTGCAATATATGCCAAAAAGTTCTCAGTTTGCAAATCTCTACATATACATTCACCAAGGTAGTGAAGATCCTGAAAGGGCTTTGCTGCTATGGAAATATAGAAGTTTGGTTAGAACTGAAACTACCCAACTCAGAGCTAGACACCCAACTGCAACTTGAACCATGCAGAAGAATTGGCCTGAGTAACCCACACATTGAATTTGCTTGGAGAGTATCACCAGCACTTGCTTGACTCAAACTGACTGATCAGTTATGTGCCATCAACTTGGTGTTGTCTTATAGAAACAATACAGTAGATCTCAACTTATGACCACAACTGAGCCCCAAAATTTTGTTGCTAAGCGAGACAGTTGTTAAATGAATTTTGTCCCATTTTATAACCTTTCTTGACACAGTTTTTTTTTTTTTTAGAAAAAACTTTAATGATTTTACTTTTTAAAAAAACAACACAACTACAAATTATGTACAACAAAAAGACAAACAGGTCTTAGCATAGGCCAAGAGGGAAAGAGAGGAAGGCTTGAGAGAGGAAAGAGGGAAAGGTAAGGGAAGGGGGGGGAAGAGTAGGGAAAACAATTATAATAAAACCATATTTTTTGTGACTGTCTGTAAGGTCCTTTCTTCTTCAAAACAATCGTCGGCGGTGCTTTTCTTTATCTCTGCTTCGGAGGCTCTCGGCCTTAATTTTCCTAGAGGTGATCTATCTTTGGTTTAGCCAATTATACAAAGGGTTCCAATTGTTATAATAGGTTGAGGATTCTTTATTTTTTAATGCTTGGGTTAGTTTGTCCATTTCGGCGCATTGTAAAATTTTCTGAATAACCATATGTTCAGTGGGGATAGAAGGTAGTTTCCAGCACTGGGCAAATGCCAGTCTGGCCACGGTTAAGATATGAATTGTAATATACTTTGATTTTTTGGATATTTGTTTATCAAAAATTCCTAATTTTTTGCCAGTACTTCTGGGTTTCCTTGCATGACCACCACATGTGGAAGAAGGTACCTTCTATGTTTTGACATTTCTAACATTTGGGGCTTGTGTTGGGGTGCATCTTTGCCAATCTCGAAGGGGGCAGGTGCCATCTATAAAACATTTTATATGAGTTTTCTTTATAATCTGCTGATTTCGTGATCTTAATGTTCCTGTTCCAGATCCTTTCCCATTCTGCTAGGGTAATGCTCCGACCCACGTTTCTGCTCCACGCAATCATATTTCCTTTGACAATTTCTTGTTCTAGTTCTGTTTCTAATAAATGTTTGTAAAATTTAGATAATTTTTTTTTTACTCGGTCCTAATAGAATTTTGTCTAAAGTCTGTAATTTATTGTAGATTCCAAATTCCTTAATGTCTTGTTTGTATCTACTATGAATTTGAAGGTACACTCACTGATCAATTATAAATCCTCGCTCTTGTAATTCTTGTCGTGTTTTCAGCTTTCCTTGTGGGTCTAATAAATTTTCGTACTTAATCATTTTAGTTATGTCCAAATTATTAGTGTGTACTATCACTTCCATTGGAGATAGCCAAATCGGTATTTTTAGATAGAGTTTTTTACGTACTTTTTTCCAATTAGTTAATAGAGAGTCCCTGATAAGATGCCTATGGAAATATGATTGCCTGGGTTTCCCAGTTTCCCACAAAAAGGCATGCCATCCTTTCTGCATATTGTGGCCTTCTAATACTAGTGTTCTTTTGTTGGTTAGATTCACCC